CGTAATGCCCAGCCACCGGTTGAACGGTGGTAGAGAAAAATAACTTAATGCCCAGCCACCGGTTGAACAGTGGTAGAGAAAAATGACGTAATGCCCAGCCACCGATTGAACGGTGGTAGAGAAAAATGACTCAATGCCCAGCCACCGGTTTAACGGTGGGTAAACACTTGTAGCTTTTTTTTTATATCTACTGTGAAATATTATATACCAATTATTTATGAATTTTGACTCAAGAGCTCAGACAGGAAGATTACTTTTTTTCAGGAACGTATGGCTAAAAGAGTTAACCTATCAAATTCAACGACAGCAGATGCCGAGGTCTTTTACTCTCGTGAAATGTTCCACCTATTACCGTGTACGTGGATTGGTGAAGTGAGTGCGAGATTTGCTGAGCAAATTCCAGTTGTTTTAAGAAACTGTTATATTCCCGTCAATCCACATGTTTTTGGTGCCCGCCTCATATTGTGACTCATCCGGAAGCATCTTCTGCCTACCCATCATATGAGTTCTGTAATTTACCAATCAGTGCGATGTTGACTATGCAGGCAGAACGGGTCAAACTTTGGAAGCACGAATCGACCAACATGTAACAGCCAATACTTGCATAGTAAACGTGGACGGTTTAAAACATTCCTTCATCGTTTCAGTAATATCTGAACATTTGAATAAAAGCCAACAGTGTTCCTGGTCTTATAGCCCCGATATTTTCACTGTGTTTAGCAGGGCTAATTCTCGCTATCAATTGAATGTTTTGGCGTCTGTGTATATTAAGTCCTGACAGCCATCTCTGTAAGAAGAATGAGTGGGCTTAAATGTAATTAGACTTTAATGTTATATTTTTTATTTGCATATAACATTTCTCTGAGGTTGTATATTTTTAGTCGCTGTTCATTTTTGTGTCTTCGATTTTTGCTTTTTGATGAGAGAGGGCCAGTAAACCGTTTTAACTTTTTTTAATCGTCGTTATATTTCGGTATAACCAATTTACGGTAATATATATCTTTTGTTACCACCTCTTCTTTTATTAAGAATTGTTTCTTTTTTTTTAATGTCTCCTTTTATTTGTTCTTGGAACTTATTTTAGATTTCTTCATGTTTTTCGATTATTCTTCTTTACATTTGACTAATATTTGAAAAATGACTTTATGTATAATTGGAATCCTTGTTTGCAAAAATGGCTTCATGTAAAAAATAACTTAATGTATAATACGCATCTCTATTTGTAATGTATAATACGCATCCCTATTTCTAAAATGACTTTATGTATAAATGTCTAAAATGAATTTATGTATAATACGCATCCCTACTTGCAAAAATGACTTAATGTATAATACGCATCCCTACTTGCAAAAATGACTTAATGTATAATACGCATCCCTACCTCTAAAATGACTTTATGTATAAATGTCTAAAATGAATTTATGTATAATACACATCCCTATTTGCAAAAGTGACTTAATGTATATTACGCCTCCCTATTTCTAAAAAATGATTTCATGTATAATACGCATCCCTATTTGCAAATATGACTTAATGTCTAATACGCATCTCTATCTCTAAAATGACTTTATGCATAAATGTCTAAAATGACTTTATGTATAATACGCATCCCTATTTGCAAAAATGACGTAATGTATAATATGCATCCCCATTTGCAATAATGACTTAATGTATAATATGCATCCCCATTTGCAAAAATGACTTTATGTATGATACGTATCCCTATTGCAAAAAATGACTTAATGTATAATACGCATCCCTATTCGTAAAAATGATTTTATGTATAATACGCATCCCTATTTTCGAAAAAATACTTTGTGTAATAGGCATCCCTATTTGCAAAAAAAAATGAATTCATGTAAAATACGCATCCCTATTTCTAAAAATGCCTTATATATAATAGGCATCCCTATGACTTCATGTATTTCTAAAAAACATAATTTATGCATAATACGCATCCCTATTTGTAAAACAATGAATTCACATATAATACTCATCCCTATTTTTAAAAATTGGCTTTATGTATAATACGCTTCGTTATTTGCCAAAAAGTGACTTTATACGTATTTCTATTTGTAAAAAAATGGCTTTATATATAATACGCGCCTATTTAAAAAATGTTCTTGGAGATTTCAGAGATGAATACTTTAACTCCAAGAACATGTTGAACATGGCGCGCCTAATAGATATGATCTCTGGTAGGAAAGACACATCCATTCCAAAGTTGATATTTATTTTGCTCAAAATATAAGATTTATCTTATTGTATTTGTTGGCATGGATCTATTTTGTATACTGCCAAATCCTTGGGTCTCTTAGAAAACCTGGTAATGGAATTTCTCAAGGTATTACTAATGATTTCATTTTTCAGCTGGTGGTCGATGTACACCAAACATTGCTTCCTGTAGATATTGGTTACAAACTGGGAAGAACTCACTATTAATAGCTTGAAAAGCTATGCTGTTAACAACATGCCGTGGCTTCTGTTTCAGTTTGTCTAAAAAAAAAAAAAAAGAATAAATGTAATTGTTACAGAATGCGAAGGCCAGGGCCAGAATGGTCAGCGATTGGCCAGAGTGTATCGTGTGGGGTGCATTGTGATAGTGGCGGATTGCATTTATTAGAGTTTTGGATATATGTCAAAAACGGCGAGAATTCAACAGCGGGCCACAAGAATTCTGCAGCGTCGATAGCATTCCCACACCCAGGTTGAGAGACCGACTAAAACCACCCACGGAGGGATGCTAGGCCAACGTAAGACATACGTTCTTGTGACGTTATTCCTCCTGCTGCCTCTAAAAATCTAATTTGCCGCCACTCTCTCCTGATAAAACGAATAAGAAAAAGAAATCGTCTTTTTTGTTCATACCTTTTTATGAAGTAGCGTGGGGATTCAGAGACAACACCGAACACAACATAATTCCGAAAATGATGCTAGTGGTTAAGTCAATATTCGATTACTAAGTGAGTATGTTTAATGAATTTGATGTCAAATCACACTATCCTAAGACCTTAGTCATCTGGAGTGATATTTCTGTCTATTTCTATCCATAATACTCTGATGCTAATGTAAAGAAACACTGAAATATTAACTCCCTCGCTAGTTTTGTCTGCTAGGTAATGCAGTAATATGACTCAGTATTTTGTTAAATTTGAAAAGAGCGGGACCTGTCGGAAAACGGAACATAGCAGTAAGTTACTACCTAAGAATAAAATCTGGTTTGCTGCTAGAAATTGTTTTGTTCTTCACTCGTGGGTAACGATCTGGCCGAATGGGCATTTTTAAGACACAAGTGTTTAATTACAAGAAGCTGCACCTTGTCAACGAACCTGGAGTTTGGTCTGTGCTACAACTCAAAATTAAATATTAATTACTTAAAGAATTATCTTGTGTACTCCAACGTGTTTGATTAAATAAACTATTTTTTGACAAATACATTCTCTTCCACCTTTCCTGTATAGCCGGATGTTCCTTCTTTATGCCTACCATTGTATAATAATAATAATATCCCATCTGAAATTTGTAGTAGACACGGTGGAGTAATGGACTGCGGCTTGGATTGGGAAATCGGAGAGCCGAGTTCGAATTCCAGTCGAATCAATTACATGCACTTTTTTTTTCATTGGGAAAGGTATGAATCCTCTTCTTCTCCCTCCAGCTATGGGTAAATAATAGGACAGACTGGGTTCTATAACATTGGATGGCAAGGATGGTCTAGGAAAAGGAGAGCTCTGAATTCAAACCCGAAGTGGAGCCCCTAAGGTGGATGGACGGCAACTCCTGCAGCCGCGCTGGTACCAAACTGTATTGGCTTATCCTCTGCTAGCAAGGCCGAGAGGGGGAACTAGACGACCGACCGACATATATCCCGCCTAGGCTCGTAGCGCACCGCTCTACTCCATCGTCTCTCGAGACGGACGGGTGCCGACGACGACGACCTGAAATTTGCTTCTCAATTGCCTGACTATAATTATTTGGGCATACACGCCAGTACGTTTCTATTCATGAGTGTGATTAGTGGAAGAGTATCATGGCCGAGTGTCGAGAAGCTTTTTTTTAAAGTTTAATAGATAAGGCATCCAAGGCGACTGGGGAGACATATGTAGGTATTTCAGAATATCATTACCTTGCAGGTGGACGTTGTTGGAAATACATTCAGGTCAGGTAGCTCACTCAGATTGATGATGTTCTGAAATATCTAGATATGACTCCCCAGTCGCCTTGGATGCCTTATCTTTTAAACACGATATCATGTACATTTGGCTGTGATGCGTGTACCTGGCATACTCTTAATAGATTGTGTGTCTTGATGAGTATTAGTCTTCGTATATTTCTACCCTAGTGTTATTTTGTTAGATTCTCCCTCGTTCAATATATGTAAATGCAGAGAATTAACTCATGCAGACATGACTGGGTAGGAAAGATGATTCATTGAGAATTTTGCAAATGAATGTGTTTTGGTTATACAGATCAATGCTGTCTGTACAAAGCAGCAGCCGCACTAGAGTATAAAAAGCAATCTTGTCAACAGAATTTTGAAATGCAAACAGATCCCCCTCCAATCAACGTCAGGAGGCAAAATTTAGTAATTGTGAATGAGAAGATCTCACAGTAGATGTTGTTTCAGTAAAAAAAAAAAAAAAATTCAGAGATATTTTAAAACTAATATTCACATATTTGATGGCGTGAGAAGCACTCAAAGTAGAGCTTTTTGAATGGCAGAGAGATAAAGAGTGGAATTTGTACAAAAATATTACTTGGTATACAGGGAGCATATTCCTTGGAAAGATAATTTGAGAAATCCGAAGATTTCTGGAAATCATCTTTGGTGCAATATTACTAAATTCAGAAAAGAAATACTGCTAAATGTCTTGACAAGATTTGCTGTCCGTCGATCTGAAGCAAAGATGACAAGAAACTATTGGTGTGAAAATCAGAAAAAAAAATAACAAAAATAAATCAACAAGAAAAAGCCGTAAATAAAAAATGCAATTTGATTTTTATACACCAACAGGATTATAATTTGAATCTTGGCTCTCAAGAATATTTACACTATATCGTTTTGGGATCACTAAACTTTCTGTATATATTTCATTGGTAGGGTTGAGTTGATTTTCTTCATTTTTCTGGGGGTACGAATTCGTAGTAGACTTGTAAGTTCTGTCGGCTAATAACAGACTAACGATAGAGACAAGGCGCAGAGCGAGGATAAGGATGATGAGGTTCGCTGCCAAACTCATATCATTGTAGATCCAACATGAAGAATCACCTTCACAGGTCGTCTGCCAAACGGAACAAGCGTGGTCTATTATCGCACCAATTAACAAAGGACCCGGAAGACTCCCTGTCAAAATAGAAAACATATAAACATTTAAATGATAAAATATAACAACGGAATTATTATTTTTAATTAATGAAAAAAAAAAATATATATATATATATAAAATGAATAATTAGTTAAATATACAGTAGCGAGTATTAAGATCAGAACGATGTTAAGAAAATGTCTAAATGTGAAATAACTTATTTTATCTTTCTTCACTTTCGTCCAATCGTGAATTGATTAATGAGATACTCGGTGGATCGTCTCAGTGTTTCTCGGGTAGTTCTTTCGAACAAGCTTGCAGCGTCTGGACACAAGAATTACTTTCTCTCCCACTAGACACATCAAAACAAAAAAGCTGGGATAAAATAAAATGCGAAGCGAATTTTACTAATTTGAGGCTCTCTCTGGATCAGTATCGCCTCACCTGTCTACTATCTGCTTCACAACCGAGTAGTGGCGCCTGACTCAACGCAGTGCCCTCTTCATCTACCGGTACCCTTCTAGATGATGCACTCGGGTCGGAGTCGCGATCCGTCTTGGACTCAAATTATGTGAGCGTCACAGATGCAGATGTAGAGCTTCCATCGATGAGTTTGGTTTGCATCCTCTCTCCTGTCGTCGTAGTCGAGGCCGCTTTCCAAAGCATGCAGCAATAAACGACATTATCAGAAGAGGTTTGATGAGGCTGGGTTCCCTTCCCAAATCGAATCTGTAGGCCTCGACCGTGGTGATGGAAAGCGGCCGGATGGCATTACCATTTTCCCTTTTAAGATGGGGAAGTCGTTGATTTGGGATGCGACCTGTGCGGATACATTTTCGGTCGGTAATTTGATCAGGTCCGCGGCTGAGACAGAGTCCGTCGCCCGGGACGCAGAGATGAAAAAAAAATAGTTAAGTATTCTTCTCTTGCTGATAAATTTTTTTTAACTCCTGTGGCAGTGGACACTTCAGAGGTTATTGGCCCTCGTTCGATGGCGTCCCTTCGGAGGATTGGCGCGATTGCGTCTCGATTAAGGGACAAGCCTCGCTCCCTGTCACAAATCAAAATTGATGAAGGAATACTTTGATGAGAAGCAGATGAGTGTTATGAAATGAGCGCCCAATCTCCTGACCTCAACCCCATAGAAAACTTATGCTCAACTGCTTTCTCGAGAGCCTGTAGTTTATAATGCTCCCTAAGTTTTCTATGGGGTTGAGGTCAGGAGATTGGGCGCTCATTTCATAACACTCATCTGCTTCTCATCAAAGTATTACTTCATCAATTTTGATTTATGACACGGAGCATTATCCTGCATAAAAATGAGCTTTGTGGCGTCGATTTGCACCCTTTCAGCAGAAGCGAGCAGACAAGATTCTAAAATTCTCTTGTACTGCTTGCTCCTGAGGGTCTTTTCAATAGGTTTTTAGAAATCAGTTCCATAAAAAGAACATTATACTGAACGGATGCTTGACAGTACTTACTGCTAAATTCAAAGAGCTTTCAAAGCTTCTTCTTCCGATTTTAGATCGCTTATCCAAAGAATTTAGCTCAACTATCGTTTCATCGGAAAAGAGAACATTTAGTAAAAAAATCAGGTGAGTCACTTTTTATCGAACAGCACTGTATATATATATATATATATATATATATATATATATATATATATATATATATATATATATAGAGAGAGAGAGAGAGAGAGAGAGAGAAGGCTCCCTATATACTGAGTGTAACAGCAAAATTGTCCAAATCCGCATGGTTTAATTGTCACTCCCACAAAATGTTTAATATCTAAAATACAACTAAAATAATTTTTTCCATGTTTTTAGATAAGACGTTTAGCCAAATTGACACCATTTGTATTAAGAATCACATAATCCATTTGAGTTATTCAGCTAGAAAGAGAACAGGATGAAATACTTTTGTGTCAGCAACACTATGTCTTACCAGCTGAGTAATGGTGGGAGGAAAAAGATAATTCAGGCCTTTAGTAATGGTACCAATATTCATACTCTGGCTTCCATCTTCAAAGTTCATTAAGGAAGCATCATGAAAACGGTTAATAAGTTTTAAAAAGAGGGAACAGTAGAGAGGAAAACTGGATCAGGAGGTCACAACAGCAAGGGGGATCATCATTTCAACTGAGAGCTGAATACATTCTTATTGTTCAAAGTAGAGGCCAATAGTGTTATAAAAACCCCAGATAATTCCTGTAAGATATTTTTAATCATTTGTAAGATACAACGGTTCAAAGCTTAATCTAACAATGGACAATTTTGCTGTTACACCTGGTATAGCAATACGAGTGTTTCATTTCCCGAACACAGTCAGCACGTTCTAGCCGTGTTCATAATTAATGTTATTGAGATCTGATTTCCTCATCTTTATTGCTAATACTTCCATTATTTTAATCGTTTTCTTACACACACATACGCTCACCAAAAACACGCGCTGTGCGCAAATTTTCAGATATAACTAAAAATTTTATCTGTAAGAGAACAATATTAATCAAATGTACAATTCAATATTTGTAATTAATGAAATGTATTAATTCGAAGGTATAAAATTCCTATTTTGAAATAAGGTAGTAGAACTTTTCAAAAGATGTTATTTGTCTTCTGAATTTCAGTAATTGGATTGTTAATTGATATAAATTGATTTACCTAGCATGCGAACAACAAATGCATTTAATCCCAGGGCAAATGAACGTTGATCTTCTTCTGTGCACCTGAAAAGAAAATCACAAATCAATGATTAAAAAGACATATCACCGGTGATGATGTCACAAATAAATGTACGTCGTTTAAACCAATTGAAAAATGTCTAAAATGCAAAGCTTAAGTCTTGTCATTATTCGTTTAATCAACCCAATAAAAATAGAGCCACTTAAAGTAAAGGTTTATTGTTGCAAGGGCGCACAACGGAATACCAAGTGAAGGAAAATGAGTCGAACCTGTGTATATTGCGTGGCAGGTCTTACATGTGAAAATCTGAACTGATCGAACTAAGACATGTAGCTCTTCAAAACGCCTGCTATGAAAATAGAGATAGGGTAGCAAGAGGCTGGCAACGTGTCATCTCTGTGAAAAAGTGTTGTAGGGTAGAAAATAATTCATCAAGTACAAGGCTTCTGAACACTGTCAAAGCTAGAAATTGAGGATTGTGTAGCTCCAGCCAGATATCACAGCAATACTCCATTTTAATCTGGCCTAGTTCTTGTAATAACAGAGCATAACACAAAGAGTCAGATTCTTTCTGGATTGCAAGGAACCAACCATTTTTCCAGCATCTTTCACGATGATACTTGATGTCTGGTGTCAGCTGGAGTCCCAGTAGAATTTACAAGTTTAGATCGTTTGATCCATTTTTACGGCTTATTGGCAGGTTATTTGAACATAGAAATATTTTTAGATTCTAAGGATATTTTGGGAGATAATAATGGTTTTAGTGATACAAGTCTTACTAATTAACCCATAGCTGGGAGGGGAAGAAGTGGATTCATTCTTTTCCCAATGGTATTTTCGCGTAAATTAATATAACGAACTCAACTGACATCGGAACTCGGCTCTCCGATTAAGAATTTCGAGCCATTATCCGTTACACCACCCGCACATCCAAGCTTACAGCACGTGATATTTCAAAGCAATTACTGACCAGGATCAGCTTTGCTTAACTTCGGTGATCATACAGGAACCGATATTTTAAACGTGATGCGAACATAAGTCTAGACCTTCATGACAAACAGCGTCACTGAGAGTACAACAATTCATCATGCCTAGAGAAAACCAAAGGTTTGCTCGGCGATGAAACGTAATGTCTTTATAAATCAATTTTTTACTTTCTCCCTCATTATTTTTGCATTTAGTTCCTCGCGTTTTTCGCTGATATTTTAACGCCAGTTTCAATTCCTGAAAGGCCTATTTGACATGATAATGTTTTTTTTTGTTTTTTTTTAATCTCTTACCTGAGAACCATGGAGACGAGAGGCGTCTGCGCAATAAAACTAAAGAAAACGCTAAGGAAAGTGGCGGGTAAAAAGATGAAGAGCTGCATACAGTCGTGAAGACAGGAACCACGTGATACTGTTCTTGACCCGGCGTCGCCGCCTTTTCCGTTAACAGGGAGACTTTCCACGCAGGCGCAGTCAGAATAAACCTAGAAGACAAAAAACAAGTACAAACGAGGAAATCAGTCAAAGACAGAGATGGAGAAAGGCGCATTTCAATTAGAAACAAACATTTTCGCCACTGGAAGACGAAGAGATTATCATTAAACCTATTTTGCAGACAGAATAATAATAATTTGGTAAACTGCCGTATTCAAAACATTCCTTATATCATTACTCTAAGCGCCTAAAACATATTTCCAAACCATAAAAGAATTCTAAGAGAATTTGGAAAATTAAGTGTTTTTTTATCAGTGCTTTAAGCTTTGCTTGATTTTGTTTAGTAGCATATCAAGACATCTATGCGTCATTTAATACCGAAATCTAAATATTTTGAATGCAATTTTATGCTTTAAACTGCAGAGAGATGAGGTAAAAAAAAAATCACAAAAAGAAAACGGTACAAAAACAGAGAATATGGGTAGAAAAACAGAGAGAGAGAGAGAGAGAGAGAGAGAGAGAGAGAGAAAGAGAGAAAATGAGTAGAAAACAGAAAGAATAAGAAAAGGCGTGGAAAAACACTGAGAAAGGGTAAAAAAAAAGAAAGCGAGAGAGAAAGAATAGAAAAACAGTGTGTGTGTGTGTGTGTGTGTGTGTGAGAGAGAGAGAGAGAGAGAGAGAGAGCAAGGTAGAAAAACAGAAATATTCAACGCAATATTATGCCTTCAAATACAGATATTTTAAACTCAATTTTATGCCTTCAAATACAGATATTTTCAACGCAATATTATGCCTTTAAATACATAAATTTTCAACGCGATATTATGCCTTCAACTACAGATATGTTCAACGAAATTTTATGCCTTCAACTACAGATATGTTCAACGCAATATTATGCCTTCCACTACAGATATTTTCAACGCACTTTTATGCCTTCATCTACATATGTTTTAATCTCAATCTGTTCGGATAGAACAAAAGCCTCTAAACTTGGATTTCTGGCGTTATACTACTTCTGTTTAATATCAGCAGAAAATAAGCTTATAATTTGTCATGAAAATTTTCTTTTTTCGTTCTATAACTTATACACTTTAATTCCGTCTCTGGGAACGTCTCCTTGCGCATTTACACATAGTTCCATACGTATCTTAAGGACATGCATTTGATTCTTCAGATAAAAGATGAATTTTTTTCCTCTTTCATATCTACCCTGAATCATTACATACCAATTATTTGCGAATTTTGACTCAGGAGATCAGGTAGAAAGGTTAAAATTATTCAGGAACACACAGCTAAAAAGGCTTTTAAAAGGTTACCTCTAACATTCTGTTCGGAGAGAGCAAAAGCCTCTAAAGTTGGGTTTCGCGCGTTATACTGCATCTATTAAATATCAGCAGAAAATAAGCTTATAATTTGTCATGAAAATTTTCTTTTCTCGTTCCATAACTTATACACGTTATTTCCAGCTCACGTAGAACGGTTCAAATTGTTCAGGATCGCAGAACTCAGAGGGTTTTAAAACAAAAGATTAAGAGCAAACATTTATGAGCAATGTGACCCCAAAGTATACTTACATTGCCATGGCGAGAGTTTTCTTTGCAACCTGCATGACACGGTGAGAAATACTGTATTCCATCATCGTTGCAGACGGGTTCGTAGATTTCTGTCGTACAGTGACATGGTTCGTTACATTTGGATGTCAGGTTAACCAGACTGTATGATCGATAACTGCTCAAAAGAAACACAAACGGAACAAAACGTAAATAAATGAAAGCCGCGTAGACGAAAAAAATAATAAGAATGAAGTTTAACTGTGTTTACACTGTCTAAATGCGGATTTCTTGAAGCGTTGGTTCTTGAATTTGCTGACATTGAAATTGTGAGTTCAATCCCTGAGCCAGGCAGTGTGCACTTGGACTCTACAGAAACGGACGAGCAATAACTAAGCACTATTAAATAAGAAATGGAAGAAATATCCTTGGACGTGGTCAGCAGAATTAGGACAATATAAATTTGTTGATTTTCTAAGGGTAGCTTAGATGGGGCCGAAAGGCAAAAGTATTGGTGACCCAGTGATGGTCGATTTCACTATTCCAGTCGTAATTCTAGCGAGACAAGCTTGTTAACTACAACACCAAAACGAAGTGCCCAAGAATAATATAAATATGTAACAATAAATTCAGTCAATTAAGCTTCGGCAATCATCTCTCTTTCTATACATGAATAGGCAGCAGGTTCATTTCGTGTACGTTTCTTTTAACGGTGGAATGGTTATCAGCCATAGGACCCAGTCTTTTCTGCATAACTAGAGAGAAAGGAGACGGATTCTTATGTGAAAATTATTTTCAGATAAAGTGTATCTATTAAGGAACAAAATGAATAAAAAAGAAAAGAAAAAAAAAACTATTCTTTTCGTCCTCTCAGTGACTTTATCAAGGCAATATAGGATTTATTCAATTGTATATGTTATGTACAAATACGAGGATGTCATTGGTTTATCAAGGCCTTTATATTTGAGAACTAGAACATGGCCCGGCGTCGATGATTCATTACGACTCATACAGTTTACTTGACTTAAAATATTTTTGCACTTCCTTGCCTTTAAAGGAGTACCCTTTGCCGTGCTGATGTTGCAGCCTAACTCACACTGCGAATTTTTCTAAGCTCTGTACTAAACATTAAATCTGTTATGAAAAAAAATAAACAAAAGGCAAAACGATCAGCTTTAAAAAAGGAATCGTAACTGGAAAAACCGAATGAAAAAGAATGTTAACAACAAAACTTTTTTCGCACGCAACCCAGTTCTGCGGAATCAGAATCAACGTTGAGTTTAAGCAAGCGAATGAGCCAAAAAAGTGTCAGATTTAAATTTTTCCACTTGTGACGAATACTGCAATCGATTGTTTTTGCATGCTAGCATGCTAGTTAACATTTGAGTCAGTAAGCTGTTGGCTCTCATGTTGGCCAATAGAATCTTCTTGCCTATTTGTGGCAGCCAGCTATAGGTTCTCACTCTGACCAGTACAAAATGGCCGCAAAGTACATGAAAAGTGCCGTAGAAGCATGAAAAAATCAATTATTTCCACTATCGATGGGAGTTGGGAAATACAAAGTCGGTCTTGTCCTTCCCGCTAACTTGGAGCATGTGCATGTAAATTTTGGTGCAAATCCGTCGAAAATTGCGGCCGTGCATTCGTTACACACACACACACATACACACACACACATCCTGCCTTTTATAGATAGAGAAGTTTATGAATATTCATCAAGTGGTTAAAACATAGTCAACACATATGGAGGAAAACAAAAATAAGCGAGTAATGCCCTTCACATGTTTTGACTGACCATCCAACCACATAATGAACGTTCTTAAATTTTAAAGCCTTGATAGACCAATTACATTTTCGTCTTTGTATATAAACCCGTACAGTAATATAAATTCTACACTGCCTTGATAAAGTCACTTGGATGACGAAACGCGTCGGCTAAGAAAAGTTTTTTTTTTCTCTTGTTTCTTTTACATTAATTTTTATCTTTATAAAGCGTATTTACACATAACGAACCCAAGGGGAATTGGAACCCGGTTCTACGGTTCCGAGACGATCTCCATTACCCCATGAAGCAAACTTATTTCGTCACAACGTAAAAACGCCCCCAAATAACCAAAGTTCGAAAAATAAATTCTGAAATAGGCTAGAGTATAATTTTATTCATCTCTTTTATATCGTAGTGGCTTGCGGTTGTATATGTTCGAGTCATTTTAATGTTGGTCGTAAGTTCGGATGGTCGTTAAGCGAATAAGTCGTTAAGTGAGGAGTATTTGTGCTAGTAATTGGGATGAGTTTGTTTCAAATCTTCAAAAAAGTTAGTAATTTGGTATGGGATACCTTGTGAGGATAGAACGTTTTTTTTTTTGCATTTCATCAATTGTCCTATTAAATACCTAACACTGTTAAATTAGAACATCTGCCAACATAAGCGAAATGTTGCAATCGTAATTCTTCGATCGGGACAAGCTTGTTAACCATTACACCACGTCGAGGTGCCCGACAAAGCTATGGAGATTTTCTCTGAGTAGCTTAGATGTGGCACAAGGTCCCAAGTATGTGGCACCTTGTGAGTATCAAACTCACTACTCAGTCGTAATTGTTCTAGCGAGACTAGCTTGTTAACCATTGCACCACGTCATGGTGCCCAACAAGTCTATGGTGATTTTCCAAGATTAGCTTTGATATGGCACAAGGCCGAATGTATGAGGTACCCAAGGAGGATCAAACTTACTACTCAGTCGTAAATGTTCTAGCGAGACAAGCTTGTTAACCATTACACCACGTCGAGGTGCCCAACAAGGCTCTGGCGATTTTTTAAGAGTAGCTTAGTTATGGCACAAGGCCGAAAGTGTGGGACGCCCAATCAGGATCAAACTCACTACTCATTTGTAATTGATTAAGCGAGATAAGCTTGTTAACCATTACACCGTGTCGAGGTGCACATTATGATGAGGTAACTGACGAGCAAATCAGAGACAAGGAAAAGAATAACCCGTCATACTTCAGAAAGAGAAACAGGGTCATGTCAACAATACCAATCCGTTGCGTGCTGAAGCCACGAGAGCCAGGTCTGTTGTATCTCTGTTTTTTATTATCAACTCATTAATTTTGCATATTACAAATCCACGACAGAATGGCTTACATACATATCAAGTTGAAACATCGATCGCCGAAGTTGAGCAACGTCGAACCGATTCAGTACCTATGTGGGTGACCGCTTGTGAATATAAGGTGCTGTAAGCTTGAATGTGCAGATAGTGCAGTGTATAATAACTTGCAATTATTAATCAGAGAACCGGGTTCAAATTTCAGTTGGGTTCGTTATATTCACTTGCGCGCAAATACCTTTTGCAAAGGTATGAATCCACATATTTCCCCTATCTATGGGTTAATTAGTAAGACTTCTATCACAAAAATTGTTATTATCTTAAAAAAAATTCTTACAATCTAAAAATATATTCTGGCTTTATATAATCCCAAAAGTTTGATAAGCCCTAAAAAACAAATCAATGACAGAATCTTTTCTCAGCATCCCAGAAATCTACTCTTCATATTTTATTATTATTGTTGCCCTAAAGAGATCAAGCGACAACATGTCTCCTAAACATTATTATTATTAGTAGTAGTAGAGTTAATACCAGCATTAGTAGCATTTATTATTTCTTAGTATTTAAACAAGTTCACATGATTATACAGGCTGATTGAAAAGTAACTGCCAATTTTATGTTTGAGTAACCATCCAGGAATCCTGACTTAACACCCGGTGTCTTTTTTCTTTGGGGTTAGTTTCTTTGGGGTTGGTTTCTTTGGGGTTAGTTACTATAACAAACCAAGACTTTGGAAGAACTTGAAGAGCGAGTACAAAAAGTTATGTCTTCCATACCATTGAGTTCCTGGTGAAATCAGCTGACGCGGTTCCTGGGTAGTGAAATCTGGCGCCCATATAGAATTTGAAATAAAACGCCATGCTAAACGTTTTCCTCTCATATTCATTTTTTGTAAAAAATTAGATTAAATAAATAAATTATAAGTATTTTAAAATGGGGAGTTACGTTTTTAACATCCTGTAGTTTAAATTTTTATTGCTGGTTTAAAAGTGACATTGTCAGAACTAGAATTAATGTTGAAGCGGAAGATCGTGTACCGAATGTTTTCCTGATGGCAACTGGTTGTCTCAGAAATTCAGAAAGTTGAATTTGTATATATCCTCGAATGAAATACGGTATTATTCTAGTCAAAAGGCACCAGCCATCCCATCATTATTGATATTATTATTATTAGTAGTAGTAATATTAGTAGTGGCCTTATTGTCGTAAACATGTTCAGAAATGCTTTCAAATTCTCATTAAAATTGGTTGAAATATATTTACCTGCCATTGTGGTAATTTGCGTTGATACCAGCCATCGGCCCGGACTCGCATCGTACCCAGAAAGCAGCGACGCCCGCCGACGAGAGGGCCAAGGTTATGATGCACATTCGGGCCATGCCTTTGACATGTAGTTGCAGACGACGGCTGAGGTATCCTCCAAGCAACTGACCTGCGGCACCGGCTGGGACAACAACCACCCCTGCAGAAAAAAAAAGACATTCACGATTTTCAGAAGCTAAAGATACTTTCCGATTGATAAATATAGATCAATAGACTGATGTGTATGTGTGTTCGTGGCCCTGACGGAGAAGGACCAGTTTTTTTTTAGGAGGCACCCTATATATATATATATATATATATATATATATATATATATATATATATATATATATGAACCTAAAGAGCGAGGTAAACCTACCTAGGTTTCACCTACACGTTGAAATTCGAACTCGCCTCTACGATTCCTCAATCCAAGCCGCTATCCATTACTCCACCGTGCCTCCTTCCTTCCTTCCTTCCTTTCTTTCTTTCTTTCTTTCTTTCTTTCTTTCTCTCTCTGTATATATATATATATATAATGGACTCTCCCATCGGTTTTGACGTATGAGGATCTGACAGCATATTGATTCAGTTATGAAAGTTTGTGCGATAATCTTAAGTGGCATTTAAGACCCGCTAATGATTGACAAAAGAGTCCACATATGGAGCAAGTGTGAGGATTGTAAGATGAGATCACTGTTAGATTGGCTGAACTTTTAGATCTTGCTCTCGCTTCTTGAGATGATTCATACAAGTAGATTGAAAATTACTGAGTCCACTCAAACCCGGTGATCTCCATTCTACCCACTCCAAAGCTAAGCACTCAAGGGTATTATGTGGTATATTAACTGCTGACAAGTTGCTTTTCAGCTTGTCTTATATATATATATATATATATATATATATATATATATATATATATATATATATATATCACAGGAATCTTTTAGGTGCATATGATATAATTAGTGTGCGCAAATATTATATTATTAGAAGAAAAATACAAATAAATAAAATAAATCGCATTTTGTGCAGCCGTTAGATATGCCATTGCGCAAGACCATTTCAAATTTCCAGTTTTCCAAAGAATATCAGGATGTAGATAAAGGAATTGCACACGGCATCATATTGGTTCTTGATAATGTCTGCGACTATCAAAAGTACTCGAACAAAATAAGAAAATATCCACAAAACCGAGCACAATACTAACCACGTTACTCAAACATTGGAAAAATATAAAAAAAGTTAAACTGACAGACCTTGTCGTCGATTCGTTTTAATCAAACTTGTTTGGATGAATACTGAATCATATATATATATATATATATATATATATATATATATTGAGAGGGAGAGGTGCAAGTTTTGTACAATACCAGATCTGTTCAGTAAGGTTTAAATTTATGAGGGAGTTGACAAGAGGTAAGTTTACCATCCACAATGGCTTATATGAGAAACTTAAAATAAAACGAGAAATCTTTCTTATTAAATTAATGAAGTATTCACGTGAGGTTTCTTTCAAACTAATTCAATTTACGTTCAAAAATCGATAACCAAATCGATTTCTCTGCTTTTTTTTCTTGCACTTTTTATTTTTTAAGTTTTTGTTCATAATTCTTTCAAATTAATTCTCTTACATGATTTTTTTTCTCCCTTTTAATTCACTCACTCATTCCTTCTTGTTTGTTGTTTTTCATTGCTTTCTTCTTTAAATTACTTTTCATCATAAAAATGCAATAAAACAATTTTTAAAATATTAATATATATATTATACATATAAGCAAGATTTTGTTTTTATTTAGTTTTCTTCCTCGTTCATTTTGAATCAATCAATATTCCATCTTTTTCAAGGGGATTTTTTTTATAATTTTTCTTAGATTTATTCTCGCCATTTTGTTTCCAATTCAGCTTTATAAAACGTCTTTAGTTTCATTGACGAGAGGCCCGTTATAACATTGAAAAGAGAAATTTCCATTCAAATCGATTCATCTCGTCATTACGGCACTTAAAAAAAATCTAATAAACCAATTAGAATTTTTATCGTTTTATTTTCCTTTTAAGAAATTCATAACATTAGTTGAAAACTCAACATTTCGAGAAAATGGCATTTTTATTGTGAAAAAGTTTAATGTATAGGCGTTCTAACGTCGCCAGGTTGACGACCTGTGCTGAATTAAACAGCCTGAGAGAACATAAGCGGCCATTATTATCCCCTCTCTCCCCATCACTATATCCAAATCTTTTTTTTATTTCTATACATATGCATACCTATTTTTGTTTACCGAATTTATTCTTAAAAACGTATAATGCAAATTAATTGTATTAAATTATATATTATATATATATATATATATTATATATATATATATATATATATATATATATATATATATATATATATATATATATATATATATATATATATATATATATATATATATATATGGGAGATGTGGTAAACAGTGACTATTATAGCTATATAGCGAGACTCTTCGTATATGCGAATTGCGAATTGAGTCACTCCTGGTCACTGGGCGTGTTTATAAAGATAAACACGCTAAAAATCCACTTTCCTCCCTACCGTGCTTAATGGTTAGAATCTCCGACTGATACAAGTTCAGTCGGGTTTCGACCCTAGCTGGAGGCAACTGGATGTCTAGCCACACTGATGAGCTGTGAAACAGCGAAACAGTCTGTCTGTGGATGACGGTATATTGGCTATATTTCAGTTGAGCTCTCTGGGGAGGAGATATGGGTTGGTAAACAGTGACTATTATAGCTATATAGCGAGATTCTTCGCTAATGCGAATATAAAGATAAACACGCTAAAAATCCACTTTCCTCCCTACCGTGCGCCGATTCAGTCGGGTTTCGACCCTAGCTGCAGGCAACCGGATGTCTAGCCACACTGATGAGCTGTGAAACAGCGAAACAGTCTGTCTGTGGATGACGGTATATATATATATATATATATATATATATTCAAGATTTTTAGTTTTTTGCTTATTGTTTTCGTGTTTAAGTATAAGTATGTTTTTAACGAGTATTTTTCCGGAAATGTTGAGTGTATATGCCGTGAGTGAATACTTACCAGCCAACATGGAAGCCCAGGAAGGTGTCTGATGAAAATGGTTTTGAATGAATTTTGGAAGAAAAGTAGCAATTCCGGCTACATTTATAGATTCGGCAATGGCACTCAGGGTGACCATCAGGAAGGTCGGATTTTGGAAGAGATTGCACATGGCACCTGTAACTTGGTACTCCTTGCCTCGCTCTGTCTTTTTGTACTGACAATCATCTTCTGTCCGTAATTGCTTCATCACGTCGTCATCATAATGCGCCTTTTCGGACTCTGTTTAATGAAACCAATTTCAAAATTAATCAGTCAATTCGATTTTACACAACTCAATTTTCCTACTACAAACAACAAATAATTCCTTCAGTATCTGTCTATATTTCTGAGATGAGGTATTATGTACATTATTTATATTATTCGGACTATTGTCCTCATCTTTGTTGCCATATTTATCACGACGTTTCGGCCTTTCAATATATGCCTATATTTCTGAGATGAGGTATTATGTACACTATTTACGTTATCGGACTATTGTCCTCATCTTTGTCGCCATATTTATTACAACGTTTCAGCCTTTCAGTATCTCTCTATATTTATGAGATGAGGTATTATGTAAACTATTTACATTATTCGGACTATTGTCCTCATCTTTGTCGCCATATTTATCACAATGTTTCGCCGTTAAGTATCTGTCTATATTTCTGAGATGAGGTATTATGTACACTATTTACATTATTCTGACTATTATCCTCATTTTTGCTGCCCTATTTATTACAACGTTTCGGCCGTTGTACGCTTCGGCTTTCTTCAGGTGGTTGTAATGTCGAACTTAACCCTTTATTTCGCTCACTGGGGTAGACTGCTCTAGTTCCACGTGCCATGTTTAATGGATATCAGTTATCTCCTGTTAATTCCTTCTCAAGAACACATGGCACAGTGGATAAAGGCTTTAGTTAGATCCAGTGATAGGACCCAAAGAGTGTGAGTTCAATACCCGGTTAAGGCAGTGGAGAACTTTCAAAGGGAAATTAACAGGAGATAACTGATAACTGACATTTATTAGACCTATATATATATATGAAGGAATATAGTCTTAAGGTGTGCTATATTTATGAGATAAAGTGCTCAATATAAGAGATAGAGCGTGTCTAAATATAAACGTGAACCGAAGTCAACACTTAGAGGCGACAGTCTGTTTCATGCTAGACGTAATAATCAGGCCTGACGATTACGTCTAGCATGAAACAGACTGTCGCCTCTAAGTGTTAACTTCAATGTTCACTTATATATATATATATATATATATATATATATATATATATATATACTGACGTCTGTGTTTCCATGCATATGTGTCTGAATCCGAAACTTTTGATTTTTTTCAAAGACTGATTCCCGCTTCTTTTTTTTATTCTAGAGCCAATTTCTTTTCTCACTATCTTCAAGCAAGGAAGAAACCAATTTATTAACAGTTTCTACAGAAATAAGAATATTAAGTTAAGGGCAAAGGTCTCTCCTGTAATTAATGAAGATATTTTTGTTGCTTAGGGTTAGGAGTGGGGATCCAACCAAAAAAATAATCCTTTTTATTTCCGCTACCGTTTGCGTTCTCTCCAAAAGTCTGAGGAATTTCCATTCGATCGAGGAAATAACGAAACCGTCGAGCTGGAAGGCATTCCACAGAGTCAGAATCGGAAGAAAGCAGAATGAATGCTTATGGATTTGAAGAAGCTTTAAGATCGATAAACTGATTCTCAGCTAATGCAATTAAAGGGTGTTCCAAATAACTTGGACCGATTTTAAATGTGAATTAAGTTTAAGCGTCTAATGATTTTTTCTTTTTCTTTTAGATTTAACAACTTAATTCTTTGGCAATTTCAACCATGGAAAGATTAGCAATCAAACAACGTGTTAAAGTTTTCAAAGCCTATGACAAAAATGGACGTTCAAACAGAAATTCAATCAGGAGTTTCCAGGTCGTATCATCTCTTCAAACAGCGAAATCAATTGGCCACTATCATCATGTGACTTGACGCCTTTAGATTTCTTCCTTTGGGGTCATCCCAAAAGTAAGGTCCATCGAGCCAACAACAATTCAACAGCTGAAGGATGAGATAATAAGGCATATTGGTGAGATCGGGAAGCAACTATGCAGAGACGTCATCAAAAATGTTGACCATCGAGTGGAGGTGTGCCGTCGAAGCCTTGGCGGACATTTGGGCGATATTATTTTTCACACATTTGTCATGACTTAAATAACATGTTCCAACAGAGAAATAAATAAATTTTCAGCAATGCAACTGATTTATTTACTGCTGACTTTGATCCGTTTTAATGAAACATCCTTTATTTAGCGACATTTTTACACTCGTTTACGTCTCAAAAATGACGATAGCAAACAAGAGAAAAAGGATTTGTACTTACGTGGAAGTCTTTTGGGGTAACAAAGTAAGAAAGGTCCCATGACAAGAGCTATGAGCCCTCCTGCTAAATATCCTACCCACCAGGCACCGACCCACCGAGGGTTTTTTGGGTCCGTGTTGATCCTGAGGAAAAAAAGAAAGAAAAAGAAACTCAGGTCATTGAAATATATATATATATTATTTTGCTGTCGATCAAGGAAGTAAACTTAAAAAGTCTAGTCCTGGGTTAGGGTGACGGTTATGAGCAGATAATGAAACCCCAAACAAAAACAAAACGCTATGAAAGTTTAACAATACATTTTTATAATAAAAAGATCAACAATACATTTTATAGTAAAACGAAGAACAATACATTTTATCTGTAATTGAAGGCATATAATTGCTTTCAAAATATATTTAGTTGAACCATAAAATTTTGTTCAAAATATTTAGATTTTGGCATTAAATAACACCTAGAGGTTGATATGCCATTGAACAAAATCAACCAACCCTACAAAAGCCATGCCAAATATGCTCATACCTCATGATTTCATAAAATGTAAAAAGAGAAAAAAAATTGGAATTTGTAATATGGAGTTTCTTTTTTATATATTACTCATGATTATGCTCTCAAGATTACAAATTAAAAAAAATATATGTTTTTTTTTTTTACATTTTAAAAAATCAGGTCATATGAGCATATTTGTTTTGGCTTCCATACGGTAGGATCAATTTGTAATGAATTTAGATAGCCAACTGAACTACCGCTATTAACTTTTAGAAAAGAACCTTTGAACCTCAAGGTATTTGAAAAATAAAAAGTTTGATATCTTAATTTTATTTTTAAATATGATAGAGTTATAAAATTATTACTCCATCTGGCAACAAGGCCTATGTGGTTCGAGGTTTTGGGGAGCATGGAACCATCTCTTAATTGCTGTTGTTCCCAGATCTAACCTGACCCCGAATTGTGAAACCTATTAGGGTCCCAGCTATTGGCAAATAGTGAACCCCCAAACAAAACAAAACACTATGAAAGTATAACAGTATATTTTTATAGTAAAAATACCAGCAATATATTTTTATCTAAAAACTGACCAACAATACCTATTTTTAATAAAATAACCAACCTCTTAATTGCTGTTTTTCCCAGGCCCAACCTAACTCAGGGTAGTAGCACCTGTTAGGGTTCTAGCTATAGGCAAATAATGAATCCCCAAACGGAAATCTACAGTACATTTGTATAATAAAATGAATAAGAATATATTTTTATAGTAAAATGACAATCAATGCAAAACTAAAATTATATATAACATTTTTATAGCAAAATTTACAACAATACATTTTATGAACTACAAGATATAGATCTATATTTCTGAGATGAGGTATTATGTACATTATTTACATTATTCGGACTATTGTCCTCATCTTTGTTGCCATATTTATTACCACGTTTCGGCCTTTCAGTATCTGTCTATATTTCTGAGATGAAGTATTATGTACAGTATTTGGACTATTGTCCTCATCTTTGTTGCCATAATTATTACAACGTTTCGGCCGTTGTACGCTCCGGCCTTCTTCCCGTGGTTGGAATGTCGGATTGTACACTTTATTTCGCTCACTGGAATAGACGGCTAAGGCAGTGGAGAACTTTCAGAGGTAAATTAACAGGAGATAACTGATAACTGACATCCATTAAAACACGGCAGGTGGAAATAGAACAGTCTACCCAAAGCCTCTGACCAGGATAATTTAAAGAGCGTGGAACCCCTCTTAGTTGGTGGTGTTCCCAGGTCCACTTTGACCCGGGGTGGTGGCACCTGTTCGGGTTCCAGCTATGGGCAAATAGTTAACTGGTGTGAAAATACTATGGAAGTCTAAAAATAGGTTTTAATACCAGCAATGCAGTTTTTGAGGAAAAAATATTACCAACAATGTATTTTTGGAAAAAAAAATATTACCAGCAATACTATTTTGAAGAAAAAATATTACAAGCAAGACATTTTTTGAAAAAAAAATATTACCAGCAATAACAATTTAGATGGCATTAAATAAACCATTGAGGTTGATATACTGTAAAACTAAACAAACCAAACCAATTTCTTTCTTTCTTTCTATCTATCTATCTATCTATCTCCCTCTCCATCTATTTGAAAAAAGAATATTACGAGCAATAAAAATCATAAGATTTAGGCTGTGATACCGTAAAACAAACCAAACCAAACCAAATCAAACCAAACCAATCTCTCTCTCTCTCTCTATCTCTCTCCATCTATCTATCTATTTAAAAAAAAATATTACCAGCAATAAAAATCTTGTTGACATTAAATAACCCATTGAGGTCGATATGCCGTAAAACAAAACAAACCAAACCAATCTAAACCAAAGAATACATATTCTATTCATACGAATCTATCCTAAAAATGTTGTCGGCATTAAATAAACCATTGAGGTTGATATGCCTTAAAACAAAATAAACTAAACCAATTTAAACCAAAGAATACATATTCTATTCATACGAATCTATCCTAAAAATGTTGTCGCCATTAAATAAACCATTGAGGTTGATATACCGTAAAACATAATAAACCAAAACAGACCAATACATTTTGTCAAATAAATTATTACCAGCAATACATTTTTTGAAAAAGAAAACACTATGAAAGTATAAAAAAAATGTTTTAATACCAGCAAATCTTGTCGGCATTAAATAACCTATTGAGGTGTTGATAAGCCGTAATACAAAATAAACCAAACCAAACTGATTTCTTACAAAGAATACATATTTTGTTCATACGAGCCTATCCTAAAAATCTTGTCGGCATTAAATAACCTATTGAGGTGTTGATATACCGTAAAATACGCAAAACAAAACAAACCAGTCATATTTTCAGGATCAAGAAAAAAAAAATGAACAAAATCTTAACTATCGAAAATGTTCTAAATTATTCCACGAGAGCTTCCGAGATTGAGATCTAAGATTATTGTTGTCCCCTAGGAGCTGATAATCCGTGTGTGGCTCTTCATAAACCCGAGTAATGACAGAGCGTCATGGCGGATGACAAAAAGGCTGTTGTTGTTGTCGTTTTCCTTCATGTTTGAATGATGAGGCTGATAAAGTATGCAGGTTTCCTCAAATGAAAATCGTCTGAGCGTGTTTGGTTACCTGAACTGAAAGTATTTTTCAGTTGGCTCCACCTGTATATTCATGCGCTTTTTCTTTTATCAAAACCTGTCACCCTACTGGCTGTAATGCATTTACCTGGTACAGCCTTATCAAACTGATAGCCTTAATGAGTATATTCGGTTTCGTATAATTATACTGCAGCGCCGCATTGTTAGCGTTCTGGTCTCTCAATAATAAAAATAAACGACTGGCTTGATAGTTGTCACGAATTGCTGATTATTGCCTCGAAAAAACATCAGCAGTAGCGGTCGATGTTCATTTAAGACAATAATCAGTAATTCGTATGCTGATTTTAATAGGAGGAAAACTTTCTCGTTTGACTGAGGTCATAGCAATACTTCCTATTCGCTCATCACCAAAACTTTAAAAGTTTCACTTATTTTTTAACCCATTAACTGCCAATATTTTTAATGCGCATTTTGGGCCCAGACAGGCGTCTTAGGATTTTATTTATTCCTGATGTTTAATTTCAGTAGTTACCATTGTCGTTTTTATAGAAACTAGAACATCAAATATATATGTGTATAAAACATCAAAAAACAATATTGTGACGTCGCTGCACCAAATGTGACGTCTGCCTGGCCGCGCCCGCTGTGCTGTCTCGGTCGCGGCGCCAATTGTGACGTCACCCCGTCTGTCTCCGCGGCGTCGCCGTCCTATCCTGTCCCGTGACGACCAATGTGACTTGGTATTGGTCGCGGCACCAAATGTGACCTTCTAACCTTTTGCTGATTCGGATGAGAATCTGGTTAGATTCGGTATCAGCCTTGTCGTTCCCAGCTCGCCTCCAACGTCTGGTTACCGAAGTAACTGTTTTGATTTCTAGTCTAACCTACCCACGTTGTGATTTGATCTTAGGTAGACGAAATCAATCAGTCGCCGGGCCGTAATGCAAGTCGGGTCCGAACAAGGGTAATACCGCACAAGTATATGTAGAAGAAAATAAAGTAATAACTCGAAAAGTTCAAATGTGCTAAAAAAGAATAACAATATTTTATATCTGGTTACTGAATACAAGACTGCGTCTTTCTCCCAAACCGCTATATGGATACGTGACGCTTTGAGTTTGTTAGGCGAGTCTTAACATCTTAAGTTGTTTTTTTTTCTTTAAGAAACTGGTTCTTGGTGTATCTTCAGGCGATATTCGTAAAACTTGTTTTGGTGGTGTGAGTCTAAGTCGTTCTTCAAAAATAAATTGTTCTTGGTTAGAAGTTGAGGTCGAGAATGCGTGGATCTTAAGTCAGCTTCCTGCGAGGCGGTCTCAGAGTTCACAGCTCAACTGCTTGCCTGTCTTACTTCAACCCCAACAGCAAAACCAACTCAACTCAACTCAACTCCAACTCAACTCCAACTGCCATCCACTCGCTGCGACTCTGCTTATATGGACGCCGACCAAAACCGGGGTGGGCTTGTCGGGGTTTGAGGTTCCTTGATAATTCTAAATCCGCATTAAGAATTTTCTTTGTTTTTGGTCAGGAAAACCCATCACTTTCCATTTTTGGAAATCTTTTACTTTCTACTTTAAGGGAATGGTCCTCCCAATTTCTTCCTTTCCCATATGGGTATCTCACCCAATCCCTTCAGGGGGCATCAACAGGCCTCCCCTCCTTCTTCATGGTTTACCTTTGCCTACCGCTCACGCCACCCTTCAGCCAATGAACGCTCAGCGGCGTGGGTGTTTGCTAATTATCGCTCAAAGAAAAAAAATAATTATCTTCTTTCCTTTTTTTTTTTTTTCTCTCTTCTTCCCGACAACAAACCCTAATGACTCTTATCTTAACCGAACCTCACCTGGAGTTCGTCAATCGAGATTTTTGCCAGCATCAAGTGGGTGGTCATCTGGCGACTTTGCATCCTGGTGCCAATTATTCGTTCCGATAAAATAATTTTTGCTATCATGACCAGCTCCGACACAAAACAGGTGCTCTTCTCAAAAACAAATGATATCTTCTTGGGGGTGGTCCAGTGGACATTTTTCTCTGTCAGTGCATGACCTAATTAATTTTTATCTCTTAGCATTCTGTCCCGTAGGCCACTCAGCCAATTTGAAACTTTCCTTATTGCCATGGGAAGATGGCTATATCTTATTCGCCGCCCCGTAACATAAATCAGATTAAATCCGGTGTCTTACTTTCTTCGCTAATGAAAATAAAATCTTTACCACTTTTAAAAACTCAAAGTAGATTCACGATAAGAGAACAGTAAATTATATATCATGACTGAAAAAAAGCGTTAGTTGATTGATCGAAAATTTACTTGCCCAAAGAGTTGTGAGATCAATCCCTGGCCCCAATAGAAAGAACAAAAAGAAAGAGTTGAGTTATCAAGGGAATTAACTAAAACTGAGATATCTAAAGGCATGGTACGTGGAATTAGAACAATCTACACGCGTGGAATAAATAAAGGGTTCGAATCGAAATTTGAACTATAACCTGACGATGACCGGAGTGTACAACAGCCGAAGCGTGGTGAATATAACAATAGAGAGGATGACAACAGTCATTAGTTAGATCCAGTGACAGGACCCAAAAGAGTGTGAGTTCAATACATGGTTAAGGCAGTGGAGAACTTTCAGAGGGAAATTAACAGGAGATAACTAATAACTGACATCCATCAAACATGGCACGTGGAACTAGAACAGTCTACCCTGGTGAGTGAAATAAAGGGTTCAGTTCGACATTCCAACCACCTGAAGAAGGCCGGAACGTACAACGGCCGAAACATTGTAATAAATATGGCCATAAAGATGAGGACAATAGTCCGAATAATGTAAATAATGTACATAATATCTCATCTCAGAAATATAGACAAATTATTAAGAAACATGAGAATTCCATTGGAAAAAAAAGAGATTACTGAAATGTTATGTAATATCAATGCTCCTATATGGCAATGGAAGCCGATCAGATTTCTCAGGGATAAAGAGAAGAAGAAACAGAAATGTGGATTTATAAATGAATGCTGAGAATCCCATGGACGGAACATGTGAATAATGAGAAAGTTTTTAAAAAAATGGTAACAAAAGGGACACTTGTGTTTAGGATGAGAATGAGACTCGAAATATCAAGAGTATATAATGAGGAAAGTGGGTTTGGAGAACTGAACACGACCAGAGCATATTGAAGACAATTAAGGCAGGGAGAAACAGTGAGTAATCTACTTAAAGAGCTTGTGAAAATAGGAGTCACGGTGGAGTAATGGATAGCGGCTCGGATTGAGGAATTCGAGAGCCGAGTTCGAATTCCAGTCGATTCCATTACATTCACTTATGTGCTAATACTCGTAGGAAAGGTATGAATCCTTTTTTGTTCTTCTCCCCCCAGTTATAGGTAAATAGTAGGACTGACATCGGATGGCAACTGGTCTACCGTATAAAGAAATAGCAACCTACTGCGGGAAAAAAATTGCCTCGTCAGTCATGTATCGAAAGTATCAAGCATAGCACTGACTTAAATGGATGTCAGAACAGATAGTTGGGTCGATTGAAGAAAGACAAATCTTGCTAAGAGCTACAAAGGACTGGAAGTTGTGGAGGGCAATGTTCCCTCATGTCCTGAAGTGAAGCAGAACATGAAAGAAAAAGCTTTCGACCACATTATTTTAATAAGATTTTGTTGGTCGATGCGAACGAAAAGCCAAATCTATTTTATCGCGTCTTTCTAAATTGTTTTAGTGTTCATTTTCCTTTAACGTCAGTCTAATTTAGAGAATGTTGGCGATAACGATAATGGTGTGTGGATTTTGGCGCGTTTGCTGCGAGTGAGTGTGTGTGTGTGTGTGTGTGTGTGTGCGTCCTTTACTCTGGTGCATGGAAATGGCTTAGCCTAAATCAAATAGGGTTGTAATTTTCTTTGATGTTTTTCAAGATGAAAAAGTTGCAAGACTCTTTACAGTCTCAAAAAACACCATTGGAAGACAAACGGCGCCAACACCAAAACAACTAAAGCATTCAATGATTGTTCTACCACCTCCGCGAAACAAATGTGTGCGTGTGTATATTCGCATTTAGTAATGATATGCAAAAGAACTGAAATTAAGGAAGTGAAAGAGAAAGAGGGGAGAGATATATATATATATATATATATATATATATATATATATATATATATATATACATGCACACACAAAGATACACACACACACATATATATAAGTATATATCAAGAACAGTATTGGTGAAATTTTATGACAAAGTGTAAAAAGTTTACTTGTAACGCGTTTCCTCCTTCAGGACTTCAAATAGATAGATAGAAAAGCAGCTAGATAGATCTGAACAGTGGCAGAGATAGATAGATAGATAGATCTGAACAGTGGCAGAGATAGATAGATAGATAGATAGATAGATAGATAGATAGATCTGAACAGTGGCAGAGATAGATATGAACAGTATCAGAGATAGATAGATTCATATGAACAGTGTCATAGATAGATAGATAGAATAGATAGAGATAGATAGATAGATAGATATGATCAGTGTCATATATATATATATATATATATATATATAGATAGATAGATTCATATGAACAGTGTCATAGATAGATAGATAGATAGATAGATAGATAGATATGATCAGTGTCATAGATAGATATATAGATAGATAGATAGATTCATATGAACAATGTCATAGATAGATAGATAGATAGATAGATAGATAGATATGAACAGTGTCAGAAATAGATTGATATGAACAGTGTCAGAAATAGATAGATAGATAGATAGATAGATTCATATGAACAGTGTCAGAGATAGATAGATAGGTATGAACAGTGTCATAGATAGATAGATAGATAGATAGATAGATAGATAGATAGATAGATATGAACAGTGTCACCCTCAAGAACATATGGCCCATTAAATAAAAGCGTTGGTTGAATACAGTGACTTCATCCAAAGACTTGTGAGTTCAATTCTTAGCTACATAGCTGAGAGTTAAAAGGGAGATAACTGAGACATCCCGAAGTGACATGTCACGTGGAATTAGAACAATCTACGTCGGTGGATGAAACAAAGAATTCGGTTCGAAATTCAACTGACGAAAGCCGAAGCGTACAATGGTCGAAACGTTGTGAATATGCCTACAACGATGAAGACAACTCCAAACAATGCAAACAGTGTAAATAATTGCAATACCTCATCTCAGAAATATAGACATCTATTGATTCCATGATGTCTCTTCGTTGTTTGTTTAAAATGAATAATAGTAAATGATCTCCCTTAGTCGACAAATGAACTGAACAAACCCAATTTCCACGAGATAGATAAAGAGTATAAAACACTAGATCGATGGATAGATAGATGAACAGTGTCAATAAAGAATAAGACACGAGATAGGTGGGTTATTTTGAGGCTGGGTATCTGTCGTTATTCGTATTTCTTGTTGTTGACGAGATAATCCTGATGACATCCGGAGAGACGGCACCCAAAGAAAATATTCAGAGCAGTTTGAACGCAGCGGAATTATTATTATTATTATTATTATTATTATTATTATTATGATTATTATTAAGTGCATTCAAAGAATATCTATTTGTTGGTTGGTTATTCGGGCTTATTTACGTTTTTTATGAAAAATGATTTGGACTGAGTAGATATCTGGTACTGTTCATATCAATATGAACTAACTTTTTACATATCGTCATACAATTTCCCCAATACCGTTCTTAATATAGCATCTTATCCTATCCTATTCTATCTATCTATCTATCTATCTATCTATCTATCTATCTATCTATCTATCGTCTTATCCTCTCTATTGTCTTACCCTCTCTATCTATCGATCTATTGTCTTATCCTATCTATCTCTCTATCTATTGTCTTACCCTATCTATCTATCTATCTATCTATCTATCTATCTATCTATCTATCTATCTATCTATCTATTGTCTTATCATCTATCTATCTATCTAGCTATCTATTGTCTTATCATCTATCTATTGTCTTACCCTCTCTATCTATCTATCTATCTATCTATCTATCTATCTATCTATCTATCTATCTGTTGTCTTATCATCTATCTATCTATCTAGCTATCTATTTATCTATTATCTATCTATCTATCTATCTATCTATCTATCTATTGTCTTATCCTCTCTATCTATTGTCTTACCCTCTCTATCTATTTATCTATCTATTGTCTTACCCTCTGTATCTTTTGTCTTACCCTATCTATCTATCTATCTATCTATCTATCTATCTATCTATCTATCTATCTATCTATTGTCTTATCCTCTCTATCTATTGACTTACCTATCTATCTATCTATCTATCTATCTATCTATCTATCTATCTATCTTACTCTCTTTCAGGTAGAAAATGTTATTTTAATTTCACCGGTAAAATTCGTAGGGTGCCTTACATATGGACGCCATTAGCAGTGATTCAATAATAACAGGTTTCTAGTTGTCCGAAACTGGGTCCGATCTTGAAAGCGGGAGATAAAGAATGAAAGAAAAAGAGACAGAAAATAATAGAGAGGTCATGAGAGAAAGAGACAGGGAAACAGAAAGAGGGGGAATGAAAATGTGAAGAAAGACAAATAGGAAGGAAGGAAGGAAGGAAGGAAATGATGGTAGGCTTTGAAGGTGGAACTTGAGATGTAAGTCAGACGACGATTTTTTTTTTTTTTGCTATGTAAACCCGATTTTGTCTCTCCACTGTACTGGAACCCCACCCAACATTTTCAGCATTTGTAAACAAGACATTAAAAGATGAAAAAAAAACAAGGATAGTTTTCATACACTATTGCGTTCTTTCATAACATTACACACAAACATACACACACGCATATATATATATTTGTTTAAAGGTAATTTCAATTTAATATAATTCATATTTGAGTGGACGCTCTGAACTTATTATTAAACAGTTTATTTATTTATCTATGTACGTATTTATATATTTATGTGTTTATTTATTTATTAATTTGTTTATTTATTTATTTATTTTATATATATATATATTTATATATACATCTACCGGCCTGAATACTCGAGAAATCGTGTGAGAAATTATGCGTCCTACAGCAGGATTCGAATTTAATAAAGACAGAGCATCTACTCAAATATGAGTATCTGTTAAAAATAACGCTTAAATAAATAAATAAATTCAAAATATGTTGGATATAATGAATTTTATATATATATATATATATATATATATATATATATATATATATATATATATATATATATGTGTGTGTGTGTGTCTGTGTGTGTGTGTATTCTACAGGCTGCAGGAGACGGTCCAGGTATGAGTACACGTCAAATGTCCCTAGCATGCCGTATAGCTGATAGTACCGCATAGAGAGCATTTCAAGATCATCTGCTGTATCCGTATCATTTGCAACGTGTGTAGGGTCTTTCCCCATCTAATCGCACATCCCGGGAGAACTTTTGCCGATGGTTTATTGCACAAACTGCCGATCCTTTGTCTTTTCAGTCTTCTTTACGAAGGACGCAACATTTGGAAGAGATGGAATAACAAATTTACGCAACCAACATTTGTGAGCAGATCGGAATCCTTATAGTACGATAGAAGTTAGACACCTGTATCAGTTTACCATTAATGTGTGGGCTGGAATTGTAGGGGGCCTGCGAAAACATTCAAGTCCGTGTGAGAGTATTTGAAAGGGTCCGCCAGTCAGTGATCGACGGGTGCTTGCGTGTGTAGAAGTAAGGGGAGGACATTTTGAACATTTATTATAAGTTGCTCTGTTGGGGTACAACGATGGCCTTTTGTTTATATGGACATTTTACCTTTTTGTTTTACACGTGTGTTTTCGCATGTGTTTTTGAACATAAAAATAATCGTTATATTTATTTTTTTATATGTTTATATTTGATTTGTAACCTGTAGTCGATATTAATTTCGTCAAATTTTCTCAATTACACAGCGGCCCTTTCAGTAAATGTAGTTCAATTTTAGTTTTCCCCGCCCCATCTTTCTCCCCCACCTCTTCTTTCCTTTCCTTTCCTCTCCCACCCTCTTATTCTGATCTTTAACATTAGATCGTCTATGGTGTGTGTATGTCACCACGAAATGTATCTTTAATGTATTAGACATCCGACAACATTCATATTCCCCCTTCCACTCACCTCTATAAAACTTCTTTATGTTAAGTTTTAATCTCCCACCCTCTCTCGTCTGTTACCCCTCTCTTTAGCTCTAACATTCGTCCCACACTCTCATACTTACACTCTCTCTAAATTCTATTTTTATTTCCGGAGTCAGTTTTTTTTCGGTTTTCTTTTTGAATTTGTAGGTCTGATGAATTGGATCGTATTTACGATTCCAGTGGAATAAATTATGACCTTGGAATATTTGTGTTTAAGCTTTTTTTTTTTATATATATATATATATATATATATATATATATATATATGCTCTGAACAATAAAAAATATTGAAAAATTAAAAAAAATAAAATTTTCAGACACACTGGGTTGTATATTAATATTTTTTGTTTTAAATTTTTAATTAGGTTCCTTGACTAGTTGCAGCCAGCATAGCCATCATCAGAAGAAATAAATCTTGCTTGTTAGTAGCAGTGAGCTACAAGAATGAATGACTTTCTGAAGAAAATGAACTTCATCAGTAGTTTTCATTTATTTTTTATCGATAATTTTGGTCAGTCCTTCTGTTGGTCAAACGACCTCTTTTAAGTTGTTTTTAAGATAGAGGCTAAGGAGATTCATTCGAATAGAATTCCCTTAGTCATTTTGACAGTTTTATTGGTTCCTGTGAAGTGGGTGTGTTTGTGTTAAATGTAAGTGTGTAATTGTATATATTAGTATGGGTGTGTGTATAAGTGTGAGACCTCCGCAAGCATGTCTGTCTTGTGGGTGAGAAATGAGGATAGGGATTATATAGATATTATATTTATGGGATTATATATTAATTCTACGTTCTTAAATTTCTGTTTGAGGCGCAAAATCTAGAATTCTTCTAGAATTTTTCTAATGTTATCTTTTCTGTCTTTTTCTATTCTTTTCAATTATAGTGAATTTCGCATGGCTTTTAAAATCATGTTTTTCTAGGCAGAAATGCTGTTCTACAGGTAATAATCTTTCGTAGGGAGCCGACTTAATTCGATTACGAAAATTATTAATTCTGAAGTGAAAGGGTCATTCAGATTTTCTCACATATTGTTTCTGGCATAGTGTGCATTCTTAGAGGTAAATTATGTGATGACGTCTACAGTTAGAGTCGTGGTAGATTTTGAAAGTAGATTTAATGACTGACCTAGTGAACGAATTGGTGTGTCTAATGTGGTTACAGCATAAGCTCCTTTTGCTGTTACATGGCTGGTAAAATCCTGTTGTTTTTATTTTTGGTTTATTGCGAGTTAGAGTTATCCTATGAAATGTGGTTACTACCTATAATTTCCTTTAGGTTCTTAATTTAATTTTGTGTGTGTGTGTGTGTGTGTGTGTGTGTGTGTCTTTTGTTCCTCACCATTTGGTACAACTTCGAGTTTCATGAAATTCAGATGTTTTACCAAAATGTATATTTGCTATTAGTATAAGTTTTTAGATCTGTTTTTAGACATCAAGCAATGATTTATTAACACCAACACTCACTGTCTGCTATATATATATATATATATATATATATATATATATATATATATATATATATAGTGAACATTGAAGTCAACACTTAGAGGCGACAGTCTGTTTCATGATAAACGCAATCGTCAGGCCACTATTTATATTTCCACACGTTCTATCTCTGATATTGGGCACTTTATCCCATAAATATGGCATAGCTTAAGACTATATTTCTTATATATATATATATATATATATATATATATATATATATATATATAATAAGAGGCATGGATAGCGGCTTGGATTGAGAAATCGAGTTCGAATTCCAGTCGAATCCATTACATTCAATTATGTGCTAATACCCATGGGAAAGGTGTGAATTCTCTTCTTCCAGCTATGGGTAAATAGCAGAACATACTGGGTTCTATAGCTCTGGATGGCAACTGGTCTAGGAGAAATACAACTCTGAATTCAAAACCTGTGAAGGATCGTTTGGGGACCTTGTGGCACGTAGTGCACCAGGTCTGTGTATTTGGCCTTTCAAAAAGTGTGGTTGGTTCTGCAGAAAGCTTTCACCACTATAAACAAATCTCATGTGCTGGTGTCGGGCTGTCAGTTCCTAGGAACTGAGCTGCTTCACCCTCGAACATAGAATTCAACGGGAGAGTCAAGTATATATACATATATGTAAGCATTTATTAAATATTAATTATTAACCATATGACAGAAATGAAGCACGGAAAGAAAGGTTTTAAGTTCATACTTTTCAGACACGCGTGTATCCTTCATCAGAGAACAGAGATATGGGAATTACTCACCGACAGATGTTTTAGTAAACAGTGCATTTTGGCTGCGCTAGTCGAATATATATATATATATATATATATATATATATATATATATATATATATATATATGATAACGATATATAATTTTTTACATATCAAGAACAATTTTCACAAAAAAATATATGACATATTCGTAAATCTTTTCAGGCGGAGTGTTTCGTCCTTTCGGAGTTTGTTTACGGTGATGTGAATGCGCATGCGCACGAACGAGAGACGCCTGGGATTTAAAAAAATTTTTTTTCACTTTCTCATATATATATATATGAAGTCATTCACAGACAGACTGTTTTGCAGCTCTTCAGTGTGGCTAGACATCCGGTTGCCTCTAACTAGGATCGAAAACCGACTGAATTGGTGTCAGTCGGAGATTCTACCACTAAGCCGTCGAAGGTGAATTTTAGCGTATTTATTTTTAGATAAACACACACAGTGACCGACAGTGACTCAATTCGCTTTTTGCCGAAGAGTCTAGCTATATCAGCCATAATGGTCACTGTTTATAAACCCTCCACCTCTTCCCCAGAGAGCTCAACTGAAATTAATTTTTCAGGAGCCTATATAGGAAATTATAGCAAAAATATGTAAAAAATTGCTACAGAATAGCAATTGTGCTAGTTTAGCCTTAATCAACTGACCAAGGATTAGAAAGAGTAATGGGAATTACTCACCAACAGATGTTTTAGTAGACTGTGTATTTTCCGGCGGAAATCATATTGTTAGAAAAAAACCGATCTCTGATTCCTTGATGTGCAAAATTTTTATGAATATATATATATATATATATATATATATATACACGAACGGACAATTTTCATGTTTCTCACGTAGAAAAATATGCGCATAATATTTCAGGCATTTAGGTATTTTATATAAATACATATCTGCATTCTCGAGAAGACTACTGAATTTATACACACAAAAATACTAACATATGCTTTCTTAACAACCAATAAATATATTTACTAAGTTCACTTTAGTTTAATACAAGGCCGCGAAATACGGGGACCCCTTGAGGATCAATTCCCTAAGCAGTAATGGCCTGCGAACAGAACTCTTGCTTCACAGCGAGACTTCCCCTAATCAGTGTAAGCACACACAGAGACACGTGAAGACATCTCACATATTCAAAGAAACACGTATGGGCTATGTACGCATTAAAAATCGGTATGTATTCATACCATTCTTTACACAGATACACGTATGTATGTACACAGATATACATTCTCAAATTTATGACTTTCACTATCATATATATATATATATATATATATATATATATATGTGTGTGTGTGTGTGTGTGAAAAGTGTGTGTATATAAATATAAATATATATGTGTAATATATTATATATATATTATTATATATATATTATATGCGCGGTACTTATTAGAAAGCGCTCAATATCAGAGATAGAGCTAACATATTTGGTTCGATGGATGTGAGTTTGTGACCCTGGGTTCCAAGTTCGTCTGACGATCGCAAGAGCGTGAAACTCAGGGTCACGAACTCACATCAATCTATATATATATATATATATATGGGTACATTACAGTTCAAAAGTCTGAAACCACACCCAGAAGTTTATGTCTAAGTCTAAGGAAGAAAAAAAATTAGACAAGAGTTGTGCCAGGAGAAACCGTGGCTAGTTCCCCACAACAATGCACCTGCTCACAACGCCCTGAGCATCCGGCGGTTACTGGACGAGAACAACATCGCCGTACTGGAACAATCTCCTTATTCACCTGATCTTGCTCCATGCGATTTTTTTTTCTTTTTCAAAAGCTAAAGGGACCAAGGTGGCCTATTTTGAAGGCGTGGTGGCCATCAAGAGCGGCGTAAGAACGGAACTGAAAAGAATCCTTCAAGCAGTGCATAGAAGCGTTACATAGAAAGATGAAAAAGTTGGGGTTACTTTGAAGGAGCATCTATGTAAATTGAAATAAACTGTGACTAAAATCCCGTTAATTTTCAGACAAGCCTGGTATTTCAAGCTAAGGTGGAATTTGGTAAGTCTAAGTAGGTAATTAAAATCCTGTTAGTTCTACAAACTGTTAGAATTGGTAGTTACTAAAGATACCTAAAAAGACATGCTTTGTAGATATTTAATGGCTTGTATATAACTTTCTTCGCCTCTCATATTTCGCTGGAGATGTCGAGATGAAGCTGCTTGTGTGTATGGCCTTGAGATTCAAAAGAGGCGCACAGCATCTACAATGCTTCTACTCTACTCAATTAATAATTAAGCTTTTCATCCTAAAGGCGATACAGGAATAAAGAAAAAAAGAAGACAGCGGCGGGGGATATGTCATTGAAAATTGATCAAGTGGGCAAAATATAACAAACGCTAATACAAAGAAAATATAAAAATATTTGAAAATATGCTAGAAATGAAAAAAAAACAAAAAAAAACCAAAAAAAAAACAAAACAAACAAAAAAAATAACAGAATAAACGGGGTCGAGCAAAAACGCAAGGTAAATAACGATGACGCTGTACCGAGAAGAGAAGAGGAAAGATATCCCGGATGAAAAGAAAAACATGTCTATACGGAGGACACCTGAAAAGTGAAACTGCATCTCTCATCAGCCAAGTCCAGGACAAATTCATCAGAAAAAACTAAGTGACGAGATACAAACTAAAAAAAAGAGCAAGTGTCACCTCTGATAAGTAATATTTGTTGGTTGGATGCTTTTGTTTAACGGCATAAATCAGCCTCTATCGGTTATTTCATACCAACATCTAAATATATTTTACGCATATTTTTTGTGTGATAATAATGGTTTTAGTGATACAAGTTTTACTAAATGACGCATAGGTAGGTGGGGAGAGGTGGCTTCATGCCTTTCCAAGGGTATTTGCGCGTAATTGAATAAAACAAACCTAACTGGAATTGGAACTCGTCTCAAAGAAAAACAATTCCGATTATTATTTATGGTCGTCTAATGACACCACTTGTACATTGAAGCTTACAGCACCCGATATTACAAAGCGGTCACCCATCTAGGTATTGACTAGGCTCGACGTTGCTTAACTCTCCTTGGAGAGAAACATGAAATTCTAATCCATACAATAAATAAACCTAGAGATAATACAAAAGAAGAGACGAATCTGAATACCAAACTCTAGAGAAGTGTTGTAGAGTAGTTTTCACAGTGGAGGCTTGTATTTCACTAAGTCGGTCCTAAAAAAGGTTCGACGTACAAAACGTTAGGAACTTGAAATAATAGTTAATGACGCAGTAATCAAGCTGTGGTGGTTGATACTTTAATGTCCGACATCGACTGACTCACCAACTCACTCCGCTCCCTGGCGACTGCTACTACTACTACTTATTATATGTGGGAGAGTCTATTTACAATAGAATAGGTATGTTCTAGTATAACAAGAAGGCAATGGAATATGACCCTATCTTTACAAAGCAACGAATGGCGATTCAAAGATAAAGAAAAGGAAACTGTGGACAGTCATGATTGCTTACTCTTTAAACGGACTTGGCAGTTAAAAAATAAATAAATAAATTAGATATTATCAACACAAAATTTGATAGTTTTCGCCAAAACCTTTCGCTTGATCACCAGCCATCATTATGTACATAACTCCCAACTAAAGAAGTACATTTTGACTTTACGAAAAGAAATAGACAGAAATACAGGCTGTCCCCACGAAAAAATGACATTATTTTGTAGTTTAATAACATAGCCGATGTTCATTCAAATGATCCCAAATTTTAACAAAATGTGTAACAACTAAATTCACTGTGCAGACATATTTCATTGAGAATTGATTACCTCGAGGTGGTGTAATGGTTAACAAGCTTGTCTCGCTAGAACAATTACGACTGAGTAGTGAATTCCATGCTCACTGGGTACCCCTATATTTTCGGCCTTGTGCCACATCTAAGCTGCTCTTAGAAAATCGCTATTTCAATGAGAATCTACCAGGAAGATAGATGGAATGTGCCACTGATAATATCAATGGTTGTTGAAATGACCACAACGTTCACTTTATGATTTTTTAAAGGGTCTCCCTAAAAGCCAAGAGGAACTTAAGCAGAGAACTCCTGAGACGCTGGCGAATGTTACGCAAGACATGCTACAACGTGTTTGACAGAAGCTGGACCACTGACTTGACGTGTGTCGTGTCACAGGTGGTGTACATATGGAAAATATGTGAAGCTTTGTGAAATCGGTTATAAAATCTACATCCCTTTGAATATCTTGTTTGGATTTTGATAAAGAAATCTTTTGTTGTTCAACATGAAGTCTATTTAATTTCGTTCACCTGGAGCATGGAGTTACTCAGATATTCACATTTAAAATTGATGTCAATTTTTTTTTTTTTTTTTTTTTGTGAGGGGGTACTCTGTATATAATCAACCAAATACTAACTGGAAGACACCATTCAGCTATAATGCACAAAATGAATGGTCTGGAAATTAAAAAAAAATACCTCGTGTCGCCAAACAGGTAGAGAGGGAAGTGCGTGTAGGATGTCTCTGTCATGTGAATGTCAAAATCGAAGGATTTCAGCGCTTTAAAAATCAGCATTCAAAAACATAGCTTTTCATTTTTATATGCCGTGTACCTTCGAGATGAAGGCGGCTCTCCACAACCTCCTTTCCTTTGTATCTCTTAATAAATTTTGTCTTTTTGCTATTTATCGTAAACCCTGTACCGCCATCAATTTACTGAAGCTTACTAAGTATGTCATTCGTTATTTTCCTCTGTCCCTCTTGCCCTCTATATGTCCTGTGAGTATCAGATTTTCCAAGCCTTCCATCCTCATTATCTGCCAAAGAATCCTCAGCTGTCTCTTCCTGATGTTAATATAAGTTTTCTTTTTGTTTCTATTTTTTCTAAAACTTCCTCGTTGCTCAGTCTACAGTGTCCTCAGCATCCTTCTGTAGAACCACATTTCTCTTGGATCAAGTCTCTTCTTCATCTTTGAAGAGATTGTCCAGCACTCACTGCCATACATGAGGACAGATATCACGAAACAGTTTAGTACTCTTTTCTTTGTTTCTAGCGAAAGTTTGGAATAACAAGTCATGATCACATTCACCACTGAGTCGTAATTGTTCTAGCAAGACAAGCTTGTTAACCATAACACCACGTTGAGGTACTCAACAAGGCTATGACGATTTTCTAAGAGTAGCTTTGATGTGCCACAATCCCAAAAAGTATGGCGCACCCAGTAAGAATCAAACTCACTACTTAGTCGTAATTGTTCTAGAAAGACAAGCTTGTTAACCATAACACCACGTTGAGGTACTCAACAAGGCTATGACGATTTTCTAAGAGTAGCTTTGATGTGCCACAATCCCAAAAGTATGGCGCACCCAGTAAGAATCAAACTCACTACTTAGTCGTAATTGTTCTAGAAAGACAAGCTTGTTAACCATAACACCACGTTGAGGTACTCAACAAGGCTATGACGATTTTCTAAGAGTAGCTTAGATGTGCCACAATCCCAAAAGTATGGCGCACCCAGTAAGAATCAAAGTCACTACTTAGTCGTAATTGTTCTAACAAGACAAGGTTGTTAATCAGTGGCCCCTTGGATCTTAGTGGCTTTATTCCAATATATACTAATTCGTTTGAGAATATTCAGATGAATGACAAGCAATATGGGGCTCTTATAAGCGTCTGTGATCATTCGTTGATGAGAAAAAATATTTGGTCAGAATCTTATGTAATCCGATGAAACCTACTCCGCATATTTCATCACTTCCTGCTATCCCTTATAAATAGAACATATGTTTCAATTTCGGCATACACGTTTTTATATAAGCTCGTGTGTGTATTTACATGTTAAATGAAAATGAGAACTTCACAATGTTTACCTTTTTTCTTCCAGAAAGTTACACTATGTTAAAAAATAAACAATCTATATATAAATAATTGTACACAAATTTGACTATATCATAGACAACTTCGCTCTTGACGTCAGTGCGGTTTTAAGCAAAACAACAAAAAAAAAAAAAACACAAAAGTAAAATTAAACAAAAATATTTCCTGTATACTTTATTTTATTCTGTATATAAGATTTATACTAATTCTACTAATTTAGTAACATTGAAATGATTTCTCTATATACATGTGTATAAGTCGACTTCATGTATAGTGTGACCCCGGAATTCATTTTTTGCATCAATTTTAACCCCTTTCCAGAAAAGATTCACCTGTGTATAGAGGAACCGGTCACCTAAAATGCATGATTTTTAACCTTTTCCTAAGAATTCCGTGTGTATAGTGTGACCACCTATTTCTTTGGCGTAAAAGCCTGGTTATAAAAAAAAAACTTAGACCCAAACGCAAAATGTTAGATCAACCATTTAAGCAAGTTGAGTACCAATTCTTGCACAAAAAACTTCGCCATGTCTTGATATTTTACGATATAATCTATTTTTTTTCTCTAATGTCAGCGACTGACTTTAAGTTTTAAACCTTCTCGTCATCTCCAAGTTTGAAAATTAATTGTGGGTGTATAAATGATAGAGAAAATTTTTATCAAAGGAATGTAGTCTTTTGATATATATATCCGCACGCCTACTCAATTGAAATATGGTACCAGGCCGTGGGAATCCAACACTTGCAGGATTTAAGTAACAAATATTACCCAGCTCCATCAGCACTTTCCCCTGGAAACGCTTCAAGCATCAGGTTTTAACCCTGACCGTCGCACTCAACGCAACAGCTGAGTCGCTATTTGATGGGATGGTCTCTTGGAGATGAGAGTCAGAAATGCATAGAAATGCGATTTTAATATTGGATTCATTCGCATACCCACTCAGATGACTGACATTCAATTGGGAAACCCACGCATACATGGGAGTGGAAACATATTACCCAGCTGCTCTCGGCACTATCACACTGGGACGCTTCACTTGTCAGGGATTATCCCCGTTATTGGTGCAATGGTGGAGGGAATGCGTAGGATGACAACTCTTGTAAATGAGCTTAAATACACACAAAAAAAATGCAATTTTATCTTGATATTTATCTGCACGCCCAATCTCGCAACGAAGTTCGATAGTATGTGGAGATTATAACGAAATTGATGCAGGCAATCAGATAAATGCGGATTTAGGAGATTATCCATGCCCCCCACCCCTCGAATGTGGAGAATAACTCGAATATAGCACAAATCGAAACTTAAGGTAGGAAACCCACACGTACATGGAACCGGAGGTAAAAAATGCTGCCTTTTCTTGACATTTCTCCGTTTGGAGACGCTACAAGTATCAATATATATATATATATATATATATATATATATAGTTTAAATAAAAACATACCACTTTAAGGTTCCATGTAATAAATTATTTCACCACAGCCCTTTTAAAAGCACTGCGGATTATTAGACTTTACTTCCAAATAAAAAAATGAAAAGAAAATTTACACATTTTTGACGGGCCGTATTAAACATATGTAAATTAACGAAGTGAGGAAGTGAGGGGGGTGAGAGAAGACATGAGTGAGTTAGCAGATACTGACACATTTAAACGGTTAACTTAACGGAAGTTATATATTGATATCGAAGAGGTAAAGAAGAAAAAACCCATAGAGAGAAAAAAAAGGGAAGGAAGTTAAGAGAAGATGTCACTAATTTTCTTAGTAAAAAAAGCTAGAAACAGACGCTGTTATTATTTGCTCTGAATTTACATTGAGCTCTCTGGATTTTATTCTCCTTATGTTTACCGATACGGATTACCTAGTTTTTCATAAACTATATATATATATATATATATATATATATATATATATATATATATATATATATTTCTTTTTATATTATATTATTTTATACACACATAAATATACACATTTTATATTATTTGGACTATTGTCCTCGTCTTTTTCACCATATTCATTACAACGTATCGATCGTTGTACGCTCCGGCCTTCTTCAGGTGGTTGGAATGTCGAACCGAACCCTTTATTTCTCTCCCTGGGGTAGACTGTTCTAGTTCCACCTGTTTAATGGATGTCAGTTATAGGGGTATCGCCTGTTAATTCCGCTCTCCAAGTGCTCCACTGCATTAACCAGGTACTGAACTCACACTCATTGGGTCCTGTCACTGGATCTAACCAACGCCTTTATCCAGTGTGCAACATGTACATATATATATATATATATATATATATATATATATATATATATATATATATATATATATGTATATATATAACATATATATGTGTATATAACACATATATGCGTGTGCATATATATATATATATATACATATATATATATGCACACGCATATGTGTCATATACATATATATGTTATATATCTACACATATATATATTCATATACATATATATGTTATATATATACATATATATCATATATATATATATATATATATATATATATATATATATATATATATATAACACAAGTCATATATATACACACACACATGTCATATATATGCACATACATATGACATATATAGTGATATTCTAAACCTGGCTTAGATGTGGCACAAGGCCGAAAGTATGGAGCACCCAGCGAGGATCGAACTCACTACTCAGTCGTAATTGATCTAGCAAGACGAGCTTTCTAAAGATTACATCACGTCGAGGTGCCCAACATATGTCACACACACACACACACACACACACACACATATATATATATATATATATATATATATATATATATATATATATATATATATATATATATATATATATATATATATAGAAAAGGAAGAACAGTAAGATATACAATCCGGTGTTCTTATTGATATTTTGTATTATTATTTTTTACAAAACAGTGCTCAATGTAAATATACAGAGCATAAATATTGTAAATTAACTCATTTAAAATATGTTTTTTTCGCTACACAGTAATAACCATGTTTCAAAAATGGAAGCTAAAATCTTTAAATTTAATTATATAATTAAATTAAAAGCATTAGTTCCGTTTCATCTTCAAGCGAATATTGGAATAACTTATTTTTAAATTTCTGAGCTTTAAACTCACATATAAATTCATAATTTCCTGTTTCCAAGGATACAGGGAAATCCAATCATTCAGACATATATATGTGCATATATATATATATATATATATATATATATATATATAGTCGACTCTCCCGTCGAGATTCGACGTATGAGGGTCAAGCACATCAGTTTCCAGGAAACCGACAGGCCAACACCGGCACATGAGATTTGCAGGACCATCCACACTTTCAGAAGGGCCGAATACAAAGACCTGGGGCCCTACGTGCCACAAGGTTCCCACACGACACTCCGCAGGTTTTGAATTTAGAGTTGTCCTTCTCCTAGACCAGTTGTCATCCAAGGCTATAGAACCCAGTCTGTCCTGCTATTTTACCCATAGCTGGAGGGAGAGGAAGAGGTTTCATACCTTTCCCAAGGGTATTAGCACGTAAGTGAATGTAATGGATTCGACTGAATTGAACTCGGCTCTGCGATTCCTCAATTCAAGCCGCTATCCATTACTCCACCGTGCCTCTCTCTCTCTCTCTCTCTCTCTCTCTCTCTCTCTCTCTCTATATATATATATATATATATATATATATATATATATATATATATATATGTGTGTGTGTGTGTGTGTGTGTGTGTGTTCTTACGGACTATGAACATTTTGATTGTTATTTAAAGCCTAAACATTTTTGGGAAAGTGCTACAAAGAATTTGGTACGTGCACGGTGTCACAGCAGAAATATATGGTTTCATCCAATCATTCCTAACAGATCATGAAATGAAAGTTGTATTGAGCTGTCCTGCTTCCGGATCCTTTCATACGAACGTCGAGGTCTCCCAGGGATCTATCAAAGGATACACACCGTTTCTGATCTTCACCAATGATCTGCCCGATGCCATCAGTTCCCAACTAGGCATTTATGCAGATGACACTACCATTTACTCCGGTCTCAGTAGCAAATCCGACAGATCTGACAAAGTAAACCTGGCAACTCCTCTTGAAAAGGGCTTCCAGTCACTGGTTAACTGGGGCAAGAAATGGCTTGAAAATTTTAACGCCTCCGTAATAAAATTGCTTTCATTTAATCACCACAGAAAACATTTTTCTGTGCAATCAGCATGGATGATGCTAAACTCTAGGAGAGCAACACGCTACGCCTCTTTAACTCCATGTTTTTTACTGACATGATGTGGAGCGACTATATCGAATCAATTGTTTCATTTACTGCAAGGATTTACTGTGTCGTGCAAGCTTTTTTTTTCTCGTTAGAATCCATATTGAATATTTATAAATCTACCATTCGTCCATGCATTGAATACTGTTGCCATATATGGTCAGGTGCTTCTGCTGCACATCTGGCGATTCTTGACAAATTCCAAAGAAGGATCTGCAATGCAATCGATTCTCACCGACGCGGCGTGGCTCCCCTCCCTCTTTTCTACAAACATTTTTATGACAACTGGTATGACAAGCTTTTTTCAATGGTCTCCGACCAGATGAATTTAAGCGTGCTACATGATGGGCAAATACCACCCCCATCCCGTTTACTCTTGCAGCCGCCACTTCTACTCCAAAAATTTCTCCTCGCACTTCCCACCTGTTGAAATCCCTTCCGCTTTCTTGCTTCCCCGATAACTACAATGTTCAAAAATTTAAATTCAATGTCAACTGCCATCTTCTGTCTTCTTGAACCCTGTTCCTTTTTTGCTTATCCCCCACTCCTCTCTATTCTCAGTTTTTTCATGCTCTTTCATCCTCACTGCTTTTACCCCCACCCCCGCGGACCACTGGCATTACTACGTTGCTTGAGGTGAAATGATTAAAAACAATCTTTTTTTGTTGTTTTTTTTTAATGAATATTGCATTATGATTTTTTTAGAATAACAATAATTTTTCAGATACATGTCATACAATTTAACCTATAAAACTCCTTGTAACTCCAAAGATGAACTGAAGGCAAGGATTATGGCAGCATTCACCAACGTAAAGAAGGAGACCTATCGAGAAGAGTTGCAGAAGATTCTGAAGATGTCTGGAGTCCGTAGTTGAAATCAATGGCAATTTTATTGAATACATTTACTCTTTAGTGTGTCAAGATATTTTTGTGTAATTTTGGTAAATATATCTGTCAAGAGAAGATGTCAGTGTTATTTTCATTTTGGCGTCATTCAGACGACGATTTATCCATCGCACCCTTTATACTTATCAATAAAACCTTGAAATCATTTACATCTGGCCACCTAACTCCCCAGACTGCAACCCCCCCTAGATTACTATGTGTAGGGCGCAGTTGATCAAAAAAACTCCTTGTAACACCAAAGCATTCACCAACTTAAACAAGGAGACCGCCCAGATGAGTTTCAGGAGGCTGTGGTTGAGGCCAATGGTGATGTTATTAAATAAATTTACTTTTTAGTATCTCAAGATATTTTTGTGTAATTTTGGTAAATATATCTGTTAAAATGAGATGTCAGTGTTATTTTCATTTTGGCGTCATTAATCGACAATTTATCCATCGCACCCTGTATATCTGCTCAAAGGAGATGTCAGTGTTATTTTCATTTTGGCGGCATTTAGACGACAATTTATCCATCGCACGATGTATATCAAAATGAGGTCAGCGATGTTTTCATCTTTGCTTCATTCAGACGACAATTTATCCATCGCACCCTGTCTGTTAAAATGAGATGCCAGTGTTATTTTAATTTCTTGCGTCATTTAGACGACAATTTACCCATCACACACGCTATAAACACCCGGTGAGGCAGTCACTCATACATTCGCGCAAGAATGTAGGGTCGACATTCGGAAAGGAAGCCAGAGCCACATTATTCCCTGACCGGGGTTAATTAGCAAAAAACTTGTTTTGAATCAAATGTAATGTGGCTTGTAACCGATTCAGCCATCTGTTTTCATTAACGACGTTCGATTACAACATCACAATTAGCTTTTTTGTCTTTGTAGGCAAATACATTCTTTTTATGTCTTTTGTTTTCAATCAGCGTTCTCCTCGGCATTTTTTTTCAAGAGTAGAAATAAGAAAAAAAGAAAGTAAATATGCTTCTTACCTGCTAGAATCGATGTGTAAAAAGTCGACGTGGAAATCAAGCAACTTGCCCCCCGCGGTGTATCCTACTGCTACCCCAACCATCGTAAGGCACAATAATATAGCTGTAACGAAGAGAGAGAGAGAGAAAAAAAATGCAACAGAATTAATTGCAATTTCTGTTAAGGAATTCTCAGAGAGAAATGAATACATACAATAATCTTGTTTATTTTTATTCTTCATCATCAATTTAAAATAAAATAATCAAATGACATTCATGATTCAAACACTTATTTTCGAGTTAGCATTTCTGACCATTAAAATTTATAGAATTTCTCTGAGAGAAGTAATGGATAGTGTTGTTCATAATGACGGTGATGGAAGCGTGCTGGGCTCATAACCAATGTTGTTCATAATGACGGTCGTCTTCGAGTATAGAATCCAGAGGTTAGCAATGAATATTTCGAAGACAGTAGGAAAGCGTTGTTCAGGTTACAGAGGATATTTTGGTAAAATTAGCAGAGCATAGTTCGTCCTTCTGGTTCTCTTCGCCTGAAAAGCTGGACTGGACATTCGGGTAGAGTGAACAAAAATGGCCGCCTTTATACACGACGGATTGAATGTTCTACGTCTTCAGATTGGTTAACCTTCTATTGGTGGACTATAAAGTGAGTTAAGTCATTTTGACTGGCTCACTAGTTACATACATATACACAAAAAACTGTAACAGATAGCGCTCGGATTGAGGAATCGGAGAGCTGAGTTCGAATTCCAGTCGAATTCATTACATTCACTTATGTGCTAATACCCTTGGGAAAGGTATGGATCCTATTCTTATCCCCCTAGCTATGGGTAAATAGAAAGACAGACCAGGTTCCACATCCTTGGATGGCAACTCATCTACGGCAGAAACAAGTGAAAAACTACTGTGGGAAAAAAATCTGCCTCGTCAGTCATGTATCAAAAGATACATGATCGCCTAAGCCTGTATCACGCATGGCACATAACTGACTATTAGATTAGTTTATTTTTTTTAAGGAAATTAGGCTTCTCAAGTGTACTATTGATGTTCTTTCTAGCACTGGTTGCAGTTATTTTCCTAATCTTTTGTGTTAAAGTCCATATTTTATTATAATTTTCCCTTCTGATCATTTCTGTTGGAAAATTCCAAGCGATGCAATTCATGTGATTTGGCAAACCTCTTTGCGAAAACGTTGCGCCAATTTGTACAGTCTGATGAAGAATTGGATTTCTTAAGACCTAAACGATTCATTCACCTGAAGTCAATATTAATCGACTGATCTCAGAAAACGAGAATATATATATATATATATATATATATATATATATATAGATAGATAGATAGATAGATATATGACAATTTCTCAGAGTTTCTAGAAAAAGACAATATTTATAAATGTAAAAGACAATCGTAAAACTGTAATAGTTACCGACGCGTTTCGTCCACTGTGGAATTTTTCAAGATAAAAAAACGACATGAATTTATTAAACAAAATAACTAATAATAGCAAAACAAAATGTCCTTAGCAACTGTAAGAATTGAGAGAACGCTACTTTCATACTGTTAACTGAACAGTAATTGACGTGACAATAATTGACGTAATTTTCAGTTAACAGTATGAAACTCTAATCTAAACTCTTACAGTTGCTAAGGATGTTTTGTTTTGCTATTATTAGTTACTTTGTTTAATAAATTCATTTGGTTTTTTGTTTTGTTTTTTGGGGGTTTTTTTGCCTTGAAAAAGTCCACATCGGACGAAACACGTCGGCAACCTTTACAGTTTTCCAATTGCCCTTTCCATATATATATATATATATATATATATGTGTGTGTGTGTGTGTGTGTGAGTTTAGACATATCTGAATGTGCCTGGTGTCATGCATGACATCCACATAACTGTCTAGACCTGATGAGGCTAATGTAAAATAGATCACAAATCAAATAAAATGACAGGATCAGATGGAAGCAGAAAAGCGTAAGGAATAAATAAAAAAAGGCAAAACTTACAAATATATACAGGAGAACGCTTGTGGGAGACATTATCATCTATGCAGGCAAATCCTACTGTGTAGAGCGTTGCGCCTCCGACACCGTTGAGTATCTGTCCCAGAAGAAAGATGTACATGTACCAAGAAAGACGCTGCCCATTTGTAACACTACTGCAGCGCGAACTATTACCTGCTGGAAAAAGGAGGGAAAAGAATTACTTATACAATGCAAACAATTGTCCAGCGCATTAAATTAACAGGCAAATAAATAATAGTCACAGATAAATACTGAGAAAAGACTGATATGGAAAAGACACTTACGGTTAGAATGACATCAGTACATAGATGTGAGATAGATAGATAGATATGGAGAGACTGAGACAGACAGACAGACAGATAGATAGATAGATATAGACGGGAAAAAAAATATATATATAGATAGAGAGATAGATATGTGAATAGATAGATATAGACGTGAACAGATTATAATATATATATATATATATATATATATATATATATATATTATTTAAAGATATTTTTGTAGGTACAAAATTTAATGATCGAAATTAAAGTGTAAAACTTAATATTACGAGACATATTAAAAAAAAAAACGGGTGAAACAACCGGTTTCGCTCCCGCTCTTCAGGCTTCAACGGGAGATTTAAAATTGACACAGGAAAATGTACAATAAAAGGAAGTTGTGGAAGAAAAAAAAATATGCAAAAGGAACTAGAGACAAATAACAGCGAGTCCCAACAAACACTCACGTTGTTTGCACAAAGAAAGCTTACGGGACCCGATGTAAAGTGCCTCCAGAGTGAGACCGGGCCAACACGGTGAACCAGTCAACACTAGTATTTAGTCACCCCACCACGAGGGCATCATGGGGCACAAGGCCGGTTTAACGTGGGATCTCCGAGCCCGTAGGCTCGGCCAAAAATATGCCCTTTGAACCCGTATAAACGGGTTCAGGGTCGGTTTACCTCCCCGAAAGAGACTCCGCCCTTCGGGTTCCTCCCCGCCCGAAGGCAGAGAGTTCAACCGATCAACCGATCAGCTGGTCAGCCGGACGTCCGACTTCAGACTGAACCAGTCAACACTAAATTTGGCCGCACAATCTCTGTTCGTTAATAGGTGTTCGCATATGGCGGAACTATAGGTGACGAACCTTGGATGAAATTTGTTTTGCTATTTTTTCACATTTGGTTCCAATCCAAGGTAATCTGAGGTAAACAGGGCATTTTTAACAGTGTAGAGCTCGGCACTTCTGAACTCTTCAACTTTACTGCAGATAACTGAATTCACAGTATCAAGAGGATAACCCAAACTACATGGGGTATCCTTAATAAAGTCGATTTCGTCGTTCAAGAAGGGCTCAGAGCAGATCTTTAATGCTCTATGTAGAAGGGTTTTAATAATGTTAATCTTGCGCTTAGTGGGACAAATAGAGCTCCAATGTTCGTTGTTTTTTCTCTGCCGAAGTTCGGATTATTTTTCAAACTCGGCCTATGTTTCATCCTGCGTGTAAAGACGTTCTCCCTCCCCATCAAATTAATTCAATTATTTATAAATACGTTTGTAGTTGCGGAGTCGACTACATAGGGAGAACAACTCAACGCATAGACATAAGAATAAAACAACACGTTACTACTAAAATTAGAAATCACACCTTGCCGTTGAATGGACTCGTCCCGAACACCTATAGTTCCGCCATATGTGAACACCTATTAAAGAACAGAGATTGTGCAGCCAAATTTAGTGACGATTGGTTCACCATGTTGTCCCGGTCTCACTCCTTATTTCATCTAAAGGTTCTGGAGGCACTTTACATCGGGTCCCGCAAGCCTTCTTTGTGTAAACAACGTGAGTGTTAGTTGGGGCTCGCTGTCATTTGTCTCTAGTTCCTTTTGCTAATTTTTTTTTTCTTCCACAACTTCCTTTTATTGTACATTTTTCTGTGTTAATTTTAAATCTTCCGTTGAAGCCTGAAGAGCGGGTGCGATACCAGTTGCTTCGCCCGTTTTTAATGTCTCGTAATATTAAGTTTTATACTTTTATTTCGATATATATATATATATATATATATATATATATATATATATATATATATATATATATGGGGAGAGAGAGGGAGAGAGAGAGAGAGAGAGAGAGAGAAAGATGTAAATAGATAGATATAGACGCGAACAAATAGATAGATATGTGAATAGATAGATAGATAGATCGATAGTGACAGACAAATAAAATGAGATATGTGGATATGTCAAGTGTACATTCGCAAGCAAAATAATTGCTAATTGATTTTGTTCTTTTAATAAAAAATCAACTAAGACAGGCTGATCGATTTTGAAAATTTAGAAAAGAACAAAACAAGCAAATAACGTGACAAAGAAATTATTTATCTTCAAACAAGATATATCGAACAGAGCTGATCAGAACAAAAAGAAAGATTATCGGAAAATCAACAGGCACTGAAGGATGTAAAAATAAGATCGGCCTGTTTCTTCGGTAACGTAGCATCATCTTACAATGATACTACTATCTATTTGTCTATCACAATCTATCTATCTATCTATCTATCTATCTATATCTATCTATCTATCTATCTATCTATCATTCTGTTCAAATCTATATATCTAAGTCTATCCATCGTCTGTCTCTCTACCTAATTCAATCTATTCCTATCTAACTCACTGTATTCAAATCTATCTATCTATTTTAGTCTAATCCTCGTCTATCTATCTATCTATCTTAGTCTAATCCTCGTCTATCTATCTATCTATCTTAGTCTAATCCTCGTCTATCTATCTATCTATCTTAGATAGATAGACGAGGAATAGACTAAGATAGATAGATAGATAGACGAAGAACAGACCATCTATCTTAGTCTATTCCTCGTCTATCCATCTATCTATCTTAGTCTATTCCTCGTCTATCTATCTATCCATCTATCTATCTATCTATCTATCTATCTATCTTAGTCTGTTCCTCGTCTATCTATCTATCTATCTATCTATCTATCTATCTATCTATCTATCTTAGTCTGTTCCTCGTCTATCTATCTATCTATCTATCTATCTATCTATCTATCTATCTATCTATCTATCTTAGTCTATTCCTCATCTATCTATCTATCTATCTATCTATCTATCTATCTATCTATCTTAGTCTATTCCTCGTCTATCTATCTATCTACCTTAGTCTATTCCTCGTCTATCTATCTATCTACCTATCTATCTTAGTCTATTCCTCGTCTATCTATCTATCTTTCTACCGATCTATCTATCATAGTCTATTCCTCGTCTATCTATCTTAGTCTATTCCTCGTCTATCTATCTATCTATCTATCTATCTTAGTCTATCTATCTATCTTAGTCTATTCCTCGTCTATCTATCTATCTATCTATCTATCTATCTATCTATCTATCTATCTATCTTAGTCTATTCATTTATTAAGCAGCACACCCACAAAATGACACCCTCTCTACCCTCCACAATCCCGCACAGATTCCTTTGTAAGTATTATCATTATCACGTCTTATTTTTTTTCATTTTCATTTGGTTGTTAGCAGTCTCCTGCATTTGAATATTTGTATTGCATATCCTGCACCCCACCCGTTATGTTTTTAGACCCTAGCATTGCTGTGGCCTGTATAATCTCAATCTTTCTGCGAATTCCTCATTCAGCTAATGTTGTCACTTATTAACATTGTTAAAAATGTCCTAGTTATGATGGGTGGAACACCAAATTTCATGCGTCGTACTTTTTGTATCTCTCGAGCAAGTTCATAATATTTTTTTCTAATTTTTCACTTTTCTCAAACGCTTCCTTAGTCCACAAGTACAAACATATATGGGAGCTGGTAGATTTCACTTTTGCGATTTAGCAAATCCCGATTTAGATCTTAAAGTCCAAAAAGAAAGTCTTTGCACAGTTCCCAGTGTATGGTTGTTCATACTCTGGCGTATCTGTTTTCATGTTAAATTCCAACCACTTTTTTTACATGGTAAACCATCTGAACACTTTCTCTGTTGAGGTAGCAGTGACTGTTTTCCTAGGTTTTGTCTTTTTTTGTCTCTGATTGGTTGGTTGGTTGATTTTGTTTAGGGGAATATCAACACCTCTACTCGTGATTTAATGCCGAAATCTAAATATTTTGAACATTATTTACATTATTCGGACTATTGTCCTAATCTTTGTCGCCATATTTATTACAATGTTTCGGCCTTTCAGTATCTGTCTATATTTCTGAGATGAGGTATTATATACACTATTTAAATTATTCGGACTATTGTCCTCATCTTTGTCGCCATATTTATCACAACGTTTCGGCCCTTCAGTATCTGTCTATATATCTAAAAAATGTGGCACATGGGAACATCAACAATCCATGTTGTAGTTGGAGCCCTAGGATTGGTTGGAAAATATTCCAGTAGACTAATTGAAGGGATTCCTGGAAGCCCATGCCTCAAAGAAATACAAAAAATTGTTCTCACAAGTACAGACCACACTTACGAAGGGCTTTATCTATGTAATTTTTTTTTTTGTCAGTGTCATGATGCCATTTCTAACCTTAGGTCCCTGGACAGAACCCGGAAAGAAATGTGTACACGCCAGAAATCAAAGGAAATAAAATAATAATAATTGTAATAATAATGATAATAATAACAATAATGTCTGTGATTGCACTCAGCTGGCACAAACAGAGTACAAGTGACGCCATGTCTAAGTAGCCACTAGAACACGCAAGAAACTATGCAGGATGTATAGTTTCGAGTTTGCAGAGAAGTGGTATGAACATTTACCACAGCCAGTAGCCAAGAATGCGCAGATGAATCAAATGCACTTGGAGAGCAATCGTCCTTATTTCACACTTGTGCACAAGAGCAGTCATGATCCTGATAGACGTGGTTTTACCTTGGGATAAGAACACCCGGGACGAGCAGTTGGCGAAAGTTCAAAGGTAACAATATTTGGAAAATGAAGGAAATAGACCAAGCAACAGCAGCTCAAGTTTTTTTTCTTTTTGTGATTGGCACAGACGGTAGTATCCCCAGGAATTTTATTGCCTAGCAGGACGCCTTCAGATTAGATGAGAGTGTTTGGAACATCTCATGTGACGAAGAAAGTTTTGTGTCTCTAAGCAACGGGTAAACGTTGAGAGAAGATCAACATCACACGACCGACTGAGAGAATATCAAATGATAATAAATAGTATCTGTCTATATTTCAGAGATGAGGTACACTATTTACATTATTCGGACTGTTTCGCCGGTTGTACGCTCCGGCCTTCTTCAGGTGGTTGGAATGTCGAACTGAACCCTTTATTTCGCTCATTGGGCTAGACTGTTCTAGTTCCACGTGACATGTTTAATGGATGCCAATTATCAGTTATCTCCTGTTAATTCCCCTCTCCAAGTTCTCCACTGCCTTAACTGGGTATTGAACTCACACTAGAACGCTGTGGTTCAGTTCGACATTCCAACCACCTGAAGAAAGCCGGATCGTTTGTAGTAAATATGGCGAAAATAGGGCGACAGAGATAAGGACAATAGTCCGAATAATATAAATAGTGTACATAATACCTCATCTCAGAAATATCGACAGATACTGAAGGGCCGAAACGTTGTAAAAAATATGGTGACAAAGATGAGGACAATAGTCCGAATAATGTAAATAGTGTACATAATACCTCATCTCATAAATATAGACAGATACTGAAGGGCCGAAACGTTGTAATCAATATGGCGACAAGGATGAGGACAATAGTCCGAATAATTTAAATAGTGTACATAATACCTCATCTCAGAAATAGAGACAGATACTGAAGGGCTGAAACGTTGTAATCAATATGGCGACAAGGATGAGGACAATAGTCCGAATAATTTAAATAGTGTACATAATACCTCATCTCAGAAATAGAGACAGATACTGAAGGGCCGAAACGTTGTAATCAATATTGCGACAAGGATGAGGACAATAGTCCGAATAATGTAAATAGTGTACATAATATCTCATCTCAGAAATATAGACAGATACTGAACGGCCGAAAGTATGGCGACAAAAATGAGGACAATAGTCCGAATAATTTAAATAGTGTACATAATACCTCACCTCAGAAATATAGACAGATACTGAAGGGCCGAAGTGTTGTAATAAATATGGCCACAATGATGAGGACAATAGTCCAAATAATGTAAATAGTGTACATAATACCTCATCTCAGAAATATAGACAGATACTGAAGGGCCGAAGTGTTGTAATAAATATGGCCACAATGATGAGGACAATAGTCCAAATAATGTAAATAGTGTAGATAATAAATAATAATAACTGTAATTTTTGCATTGTTCACGCATGGAGTTTGGGTCATCCTTTGGACTTCGAGATAACATGAGGATGGTTGATAGAAATTGAAGTCGCTAATATTTAAGCAGTGCTGAGAAGGAGAAAATTTTGAGCTTCTCGAATATTGATTTTACCAGGGCGTATTTTTTCATCTATTTTTTGACTAGACAAAGAATACGTGGTCTTGTTGTGGTCATCATATCTCATATCATCTCATTTCTATTTTGCGGGCTTACGGCCTCACCAAAGGTGAAACACCGGTTCCCGTACTATCACCGAAGTTAAGCAACATCAAGCCTGTCAGTAGCTAGATGAGTGACCGCTTGGAAATACAAGGTGCTGTAAATTTAGATGCGTCAGTAATTCAGTTGATAATGGCACGGGAAACTTAATCAGAGAGCCGAGTTGTAATTTCCATTGATTTCGTTATGTTAACCTTCTTGACCTTTCTCATAGACTCACATCTGTTCCTCCTTCTTCCACTTTATCTATATGTACTTCCTCCTACTCTCACATCTGTTCGTTCATGTTCATCTTTATTTACCTTGTCCTTCCTCCTACTCTCACATTGGTTCCTTCCTCTTCATCTACCTTATCCTTTCTTTCCTCCAACTCTCACATCTGTTCCTCTTCCTCTTCATCTACCATGTCCTTCCTCCTACTCACAAATCTGTTCTTTCCTGTTCCTCTTCATCTACCTTCTTTCTCATACACTTTCATCTGTTCCTCTTTATCTGCCATGTCTTTCCTCCTACTCTCATATCTGTTCCTTCCTATTCCTCTTTATCCACCTTCTCCTACCACCTACACATTCATCTGTTCGTCTTTATCTGCCATGTCTTTCCTCCTACTTCCCTCCTACTCCCTATTCCTCTTGATCATCTTTTCCTTCCCTATTCATCTCTTGATCTGCCTTTTCCTCCTTCATCTGTTCCTTCCTATTCATCTTTATCTACCTTCTTTCATCTACACTTTGGTCTTTATCTGCCATGTCTTTCCTCCTACTCTCACATCTGTTACTTCCTATTCCTCTTGATCTGCCTTTTCCTTCCTGCTACACTTTCATCTGTTGGTCTTTATCTACCATGACCTTCCTCCTACTCTCACATCTGTTCCTTCCTATTCATCTTTATCTACCTTCTCCTTCCTCCTACACTTTCATCTGTTGGTCTTTATCTACCATGACCTTCCTCCTACTCTCACATCTGTTCCTTCCAATTCATCTTTATCTACCTTCTCCTTCCTCCTACACTTTCATCTGTTGGTCTTTATCTACCATGACCTTCCTCCTACTCTCACATCTGTTCCTTCCTATTCATCTTTATCTACCTTTTTCTTTCCTCCTACACTTTCAACTGTTGGTCTTTATCTACCATGTCCTTCCTCCTACTCTCACATCTGTTTCTCTTTGTCTGTCACGACCTTCCTCCTACTCTTTAACCTACTGTTTCATCTAGTCCTCCCCGTTCTTCTTTATCTACCGTCTTTCCCTTCCTCCTACTCTCTCTTCCTACCTGTACTTTTTTTTATCTTTATCTTCTTCCTTTTCCTCCTACTCTCTCCTCTGTTCCTCCCTATCTACCTTCTTGTCCTTCCTCCAACTATTTCGTCTTCTCCTTTATCCACGCCCTCTTTTTCTTACAGCTTTGCCTGGCGGAATGATATCAGAAATTGTCGAACTGTTTCATAAGATTTTAAAGACTTTCAACAGAAAACTATTTTTAGCTCGAGTTTAAAAAAAAAACGTAGCATGACAAGTTTCTTATCTGCGCTTCCTCCCTCACACACACACGCGCGCTTTTTTTTATTATCTCTCTCTCTCTCTCTCTCTCTCTCTCTCTCTTTCTTGTTGCCTCGTCGGCCACGTTTAAACAGATGAGGTTTAGGGTTAGGGTTGAATCACAGGCGAAAAGCAGTCATCAATTTACCAAACACACCAACAAAAACAGGTCGCTGTGCATCATAATGTGCTATATACATAAGCATTTAAACATAACCTACATTTTTAGGGCTCCTTGTTAAGGCAGTTGCTGTTAGCGCGCTCTTTCCACAAGTCATTCGCTGTGGGTTCGATTCTTAATAAATGCTGTCTATACTACACTTATTACTGCACGCCATTGCAAATGACCTAATCTGAGGAGAAAATTAGAAATCGAATACACCCTGTCACTCCAGAGAGTCTAAAACTGACCGTATGACGAAAGAAAGGAAATTAAAGCGGTTGTTTCAATTAATTTGCACAAGGATGTATATCCACTAAAAATAACGTTTATGTAATAAAAATAATTTGTATGTATTTTAACAAAATATAATAATTCTTATTTAATTAAACTAGGCAAAATCTACTTTTTATCGAAACCCTTTAAATGAAAGTTATCTAGACACGGGTATTTTTCTGAGCTAGGGGTGGTTATATAAATGCCATATACGAGAAGGTCAGCAAATCGATTGTTAAGGAGTTGCAATATGAGTAACTCGGACATTTGGCTGACGGGCATTTAACCGAATGGACATTTAGCCGAAAATGTAGTGGCGTACTTACATGTGTCTGTCACACTCTTTATCAAAATGTGCTACATATATTTGTATATCTATTTACTGCATTAATTTATAATTTTTTGGTTTTCTTGACAGGCTTTTTAAAATATCTGTTCTGTATATATTATATTTTACTTCGAATATTACTGTAAGATAAGTATTTTGAGAAAAGCACATTTTAAAGCCAAAATATTAGCTTTTACGATATGAAAGACGAATTTTCTTTTTAATGATCATTATCTTAAAGAGATGAAATAGCTTTTATCTTACTGTTAAATACGAATTTAATTAATTAGGTGCTACTTTTACCCAAATACACTCAAATATTTTTTAAAAATACTAATTACAATAAATAAGAAAACTTATAACTTTAAATTGATTTTACTGTTGAGAAAAGAATAAACAAATCCTATAACTTTAAATTTAATTTACTGAATTTAATCATTGAAATTCAATAATTATTAGTCCTATTGATTATTTTAATATTGAACATTAAAATTTTTAAAAGTATTGAAACTATTTTCACTCGTATTTTTTTTCGGCTAAATGTCCGTTCGGCCAAATGTCCGTTCGGCTAAATGTCCGTCGGCCAAATGTCCTGCCATGATTAAATTGAGAGGGAAAACGGAAAAGAAAGAAAGACGTTCTCTGAGAAAAAACGAAAGAAAAGAGGGAAAAAAAAAGAAAGAAAGAAGATAGGACAGACAGACGGGAAGGAAAAGAAAGAAAGAAAAGAGAAAGAGAAGTTGATTGATTGATTCGTTTTCTACGACTTATCAACCTTTTGCAGGTTATTTAAAGCCGGAAATATTTTTAAAGTGTAAGAATCTTTTCTTTTCTTTTTTAGACAATAATAGTTTAGCGATAAATGTTTTTAGTAATGAATCCATAGCTGGGAAAGAAGAGGTGGATACATATCTTTCCCATGGGTATTTCAGTAAATGGAACGAATCCAACGGGAATTGGAACTCGGCTCTCCGATTAACAATTCCTAGCCATTACCAATTACACCACCCGCACACCTAATCTTACAGCACCTGGAGAAAGAAAGGGAAGATTGATGAAAGCGATTGAGGGGGTGAAAATAAATTTAATTTCACTCAGACAGACGCTGTTATTTAAAAGAAAATAGGGTAAAAACGGAAAATAGAAAAAGGAACGAAAAGAAGAAAAAGAAAGAAAGAAAACGGAAAATAGAAAAAAAAAAATAAAAAGAAAAGAAAAAAAGAAAAGAAAAAAAGATGTCTCAAAGGAATAAAAAAAAAAAAAGATGTCTCAAAGCAAAAGAAAGAAAGAAAAATGTCTCAAAGCAATAAGAAAGAAAGAAAGAAAAGATGTCTCAAAGAAAGAAAGATGTCTCAAAGGAATAAAAAAGAAAGAAAGATGTCTCAAAGGAATAAGAAAGAAAGAAAGAAAATAAGAAAGAAAAAGAAAGATGTCTCAAAGGAATGAGAAAGAAAGAAAAAAAGAAAGAAAGAAAGAAAGATGTCCCAAAGGAATAAAAAAAATAAGAAAGAAAGAAAGATGTCCCAAAGGAATAAAAAAAGAAAGAAAGATGTCTCAAAAGAATAAGAAAGAAAAAAGAAAGATGTCTCAAAGGAATAAGAAAGAAAGAAAGAAAGATGTCCCAAAGGAATAAAAAAGAAAGAAAGAAAGATGTCTCAAAGAAATAAGAAAAAAAGAAAGAAAGAAAGGATATAATAAGCGATAACGCTTTCAGGCATTTAACGTCTGCTTCAGTGAAATGGAAGTAAAGAAAAAAAACGAATGGAAAATAGAAACGAATGGAAAATAGATTCTTTGATGTCAAAGTTGGGTACCATCAAACAATGGAGAAGGAAAGAGAGGAGTATTACTAAGTATACTGTATGTCAATGACTTTGTATATGGTCTGTTTTGATTTATGTGTTTGTAAATATTTACAGTTTATCTTTGCGGTGAAATCCAAAACATTTGGAACAATCTTTTAAGACTTATTGACACAAAACATTATTGATTTATTTAACACGGAATGACCTTTTATGATGACATTTTTTCTAATTTTTATTTAGATACATTGGATTTATTTTCAATTTTTCTAATTGAATTGTTCACCTATATTGCATATGATCCTTTATTGTACATAATTAGTTTACAATAAAATTTGTATTTTATATGAAGACTACCTTATGAAAATTGAGATGTAGTAGAATGAGGGGGTATTTTATAATACATTCAGGGGCAGCACGAGACCTTTGCACTGGCCCTGATAGGAAATAAATTCTGTTTCCAACACAATTATATATCCATATAAATGTCATATTAAAATTCGCCCAAACTTTCCAATAACAGGCAATATCACAAACATGCCAAAAAGATTCCTCAATACAACACACACTGTTTTTAAATAAAATTGTCTATTAGCTAGAAATTAACATCAGCTTGTGAAATATCTGACCAATTAGAGAAAACTCGAGCCTACTTTCGTGGAAACAATCATATAATACCTCACAGATTTCATCTTTTAGGGACAGAATTGCGGATTTCTTCAAGCCGATGAGAAACGTTTTTCTTCTCCCAAAGAGCGCTCTGAAAGAAACGTGACAGCGACTCCAAGACAAACAACAACAACAAAGACGTTCTTTGAATCTTTGCTAACGATAAAAGTCTTTTTCTAAACCTCAGATTTTTCTGTGAACCAACTCGACTAAAACTATTTTTCAATCATTTTTACCTCTTTTGAATTCATGAACATATATTTGTAAATGCAAATGGTTTATTTAACAGGCATGAAACCACGTTATCTTTATTTTTTATTTTATTATTGTTTTGAATTCGAAAATTCGGATTCTTAATATAAAAAAAAACGTTTAAAATAAACAGATGCTTAAAATTAACAAGTGAATTCTGCACTGATTCGAACGTGCAACCTAGACATAGGCGAGTAAGGTATTCTCCGCGGCAGCGTTCTACTGCCTAAAGTGCATGGTAAAATTCATTTGCGAATTCTAAGTTATGCAGTTTGCTCGGAGAGTGCACTGAACTTAAGTAAAAATGCGGATCTATCACTAAATAATCACGTCATTCTTTTCTTCATATTCCGTCAAGCCGTAGGCGTTCGATCACAGGTCTCCACATCTTCCATTATTATCTGTACATTGCCATGACCTTCTGGGAAGGAAAGAGGAATATTTGCTTTGGCAGTAAGGTAATTTTGATTTGGCTAACACCATGTTTAGTGAGACAAGTTTACTCTTTTATTTAACTTGTAGGGATTACCCCACCTTGCCTGCCAAGAGGCCCGCTGGGTGGCGCTATTCAGGACTATAAATGGAAAACATAAAAAAATAGTAAATAAAATATGAGAATTAAACGATATACCTAGACATGAGCAGTAGATGAAGAACTGTCTAATCCAGTAGATTAAATAAAGGGTTCAGAATTCTCTGTAGTTTATCAAAATCGATATGCACCCGAGGAATCCCGGAGTGCACAACAACTGAAACTCTTTGCGATAACAACAACAAAATGAGGACAATAATCAGAATATAAATAGTGTAAATAACTATAAAAGGAAGTGAAATAGACACCCTTTTTTTAACTCCAGAATGTAGTAACGGAAAAAGGACTTTCCGCCGGCGGAGATTGCTTCCTCCGGTAAGCCGACTTCTTAATTTCAACCAGCCTCGTATTTTCTAAGAGCAAGGCTTATAAATACCTTTCTTCGTTCTTTAGCTATCTTTAGACACACAAGTATCTTTTCTCTCTTGAATTATGTTAGTCTTTACATACAAAGATATGTATAAAATTCCTCCACTTGTTAAAATTTATTTCTAGTGAAAATGTCGAATTTATTTACAGGTGAACAACAGCAATCCTTGTTCATTGCAAACCTGTAGTAGTATAGTATTCGTTGCAGATTCATAACTGGGAGGAAGACGAAATGCATTGATGCATTTGTTACGTTAGACCACTACTTGTACCCCCACCTTAGATTTTACAAGTATATTTTTAATACCTTACATATTTGCGACGAGATATGAAAAAAACAGCCGTCACTTTATTTCTTTGAATATGCAGATTATGGAATATTTTTTTGTACCCGGTTAAACTAAAGACACTTCTTGGAAGAGGACCTTCCTTACCCCATCCCCTCTCTGGTCTCTGATCTCAGGCCAGACGAATGTTGCTTGTTTGATAAGTACAAGTGAGCCTAATAGTGTTCAATTGATAACACCTACTCACTTTTCATATGCCAACAGGTGACTCAACCCCTAACGTTTTTTTTTCTTCGCGCCTGTTGGGATATAACAACTGGACTTAGCTGGTTGCTTTCAGAGGAATCGGACGTCACCAAATTTGGACATAGCTGTTCGCTTTCAGAGGAATCGGACGTCACCAAAAATCGAATGATCGACGAAAGAATCCTGAACGGTATTCTCAAACCCAAGTCGTCTATACCCCTGGGGGTTATCTACGTATACTACTCACCGTCGGCAAGGATTGAACGGCGTTAATCAATGACTTATATCAAGATATTAGCAACTCTACCTTTTTCGCTCGGAGAATTAAATGGACATCTTTTCTTTCGAACTTGTTTCTGATAACAATCGATCGGTATCGATCCCTAAAATTTGTAAGTCTTTACATGTTTATATATATATTCTATAATCTGTCACTATTTTTGTCTATATTTCGTCTCATTGATATATGTTTGATCAAACAATTGTTCCCTCATCCCTTTTACTATTTAGTTATCTTTTCTTTAAAATAATACACTGTATATTTTATAAATAAAGTGTTTTTAATATATGTTCTCGTGGCGTCTTCTGTTGTTCTGCATATTGTTCGTTTTCCAACTGCGTTCACTGACGTCCGGAATTGAAGAATTTCCCTCCTATCGTTTCTTTTCATCAATCTTACATTGAATCCTGGGATACTCTCGTTTATATATATTTTTTTTATTTTCTCGTTGCGTCCCGGCTATCGTAGTCCCAACGAAACCCTGGGCGTAACACATTTTACAGGCTTAATAGTGCAAAGTCAATGCAACAGACGAAGACGGAATGAACCCGCATTACCAATTCTGTTCTGCGAACGAATACGCTTATAGCGTTATTCCTTCCGATGGTTATAAGAATATATTAACAGAATTATGCAGTCTTTCTGACATCATCGTTTACATGATTAAAAAATTCATCCAATTAACCCAATAGACATTAGTGAGCTCACTCCCTGGGAACGACATCGTAAAGAATATCGATTTCTATATTTCTCTATCAATTGTTTTTATTATTATAATTATTATCATTATATTTCGATGTCTGCTATAATCACACGACCTAACAAATCTGCGGGAAGACCTAAGGCAGTTAGTGGTGTTTAGCAAGGGCTACATTTCTTCATGATTAGTTTTTCTAACTGCTATAACGCCACTATAGTTACATGGACAAAGTTCTTCTTTTTGTGTGTGTTGTACTTATTAAGATATTTTTTTTTGCATTTCTCTTAAGCTACGATTTCCAAGAATTTCTTTTAATGCTTATTTTCATTCCAGACTATGGTCCTTGGATCTTATAGGAGAATTGACCGACTCTATCGTGACGATATGTTATATTCATTTAGTGCAATTACAAAACATCCCGAGATTAAATGGTCCATGATGTGGTTTCCTGATATTTGTCACAGAACCTGTATTTTGGATTCACACTATTATGTATGATATTTGCCTGAAAGTTCCTAATGAAAAGATTATAATTGTTATTATTATAATCAACCCTCTTACTTTTTTTTCACATAGAATTATCTCCATGAATATGGCAATGAAGACGAGGATAACAGTCCGAATAATGTAAATAACGCAAGTAATCATGATACCTCATCTCAGAGATATAGAGGCCGAAACGTTGTGAATATGGCAATGATGATGAGGATAACAGTCCGAATAATGTAAATAACGCAAGTAATCATGATACCTCATCTCAGAGATGTAGAGGCCGAAACTTTGTGAATATGGCAATGTTGATGAGGATAACAGTCCAAATAATGTAAATAATGCAAGTAATTCGAATCCCTCATTTCGGAGATATAGAAGCCGGAACGTTGTGAATATGACAATGTGAATGAGGATAACAGTCCGAATAATGTAAATAATGCAAGTAATTATTTTTGAGTAAGAAATAAAAAAAAACAACAATTTCAAATGCGCTGTGCTGAAGGGTGAATCGTTTTAGAACGATGTTAAAGTTTTTTTCTTTAGTCTTCCGATACTGTTTCGCTTCGAGAAGGAATGGTGACCCAATGTGGTTAGTCGGCAAGCCAAGGTGATCGTAGTAAGACCTGATGGAATGCTTACAGAAGAAATAAAACAGTCGACTGTGCTGCTTGAAATGATAACATTGTGTTGATAGGAAGATTTGACGTCATAAAAGTGCCTGTAATCAGTTATTCATTCCGAGACAAATATTCAAGTGTGTGGACTCCAAGAATCGGCATCCTTATCTCTCCAAAGACCTCGAATCGGTTCACGTGTAAAGACCATTTTTAGATTCTGTTATCTAATTTTTTAAAACAAAGAAATACACATCAACCCACGTCACAAAATAAAGACAGAAAATAAAGAATGATGGCTTTTTAAAACGTTAATTTCTTATCATCAAGGCAACTCGAAGAAATGGATAT